AATCGCATGCTTGAAGTTCCATCCTTCAAGATGGAGACACTGCGCTCGGTGATCTCCTCTGTTCAGCCCGGCGATTGGCTCACGTCAATCGACCTAAAGGATGCGTATCTGCATGTTCTCTTACGACTGGTTCTCTTACGACTGGATGTGTTACCAATTCATGGTGCTCCCCTTCGGCATATCCACTGCCCCCAGGGTGTTCACCAAGCTCATGTTAGTGCCGGCTACCCTCGCTCGTTCGCAAGGAAGGCGTTGTTACCCTTACCTCGACGACTGGTTGCTCGGTGCACTGACACAGCCAGCGAGCCTAGATTCTACTCACAAGGTGATAGACATTCTAGTTCGACTGGGGTGGATCCTCAACCTCAAGAAATCCAACCTGGTACCCACCCAGGACTTGGTTTTTCTCGGGGCGAGGTTCCAAACTCCCAAGGATCTTGTTTCCTTGTCGCCTCGACCGGGTCACCAGAGTACGGGAGATGGTGTCTTCGTTCCTCTCCCAGCCCCAGACACCAGCACGGACTTGGCTCCGTCTACTGGGCCATATGGCGGCGACTATCTCTGTAGTGTGGCGGGCGCGGTTGAGGATGCGCCCTATACAGCAAGCTTTGGCGAGTCTGTGGGCTCACTCGGAGGACCTGGAGCGGAGTCTCACAGTCCCCGGGTGGTTGTCTCCTCACCTTCAGTGGTGGACCAATGTCAGGAATCTCTCCAAGGGGGTCCCCTTGGAAATCCCGTCGCCAGCTCTTACAGTTCAGACCGATGCGTCCCTCACGGGCTGGGGGGTGTTCTGGGCAGTCTGTCGGTGTCCGGACTCTGGTCCGAAGCCGAAGCCCACCTTCACATCAACGTGTTGGAACTGAGAGCTGTGTGGTTGGTTTTCGAGCGCTTCCGAGAGCATGTCCAGGGCCAGGTGGTTCGTCTTCAGTTGGACAACCAGACGGCCATGTCGTACATCCTGAAGCAAGGAGACATGGGACTTTCTCCTCTGGTGCGACCAGTGCGATTGTCAGGTACTCCCTGTTTATCTCCCGGGGCTGGAGAACGTGCGAGCAGACGCTCTCTCTCGCCGGATCCTGGCCCCGCACGAGTAGATGCTCGACCAGCAGATATTCGGAGTTATCTCCCAGTTGTACGGGTTGTTCCAGGTGGATCTGTTTGCGTCTGGCGGGACGAATCAGACACCCGTTATCTGCTCTTGAATACCGAACCCGAGGGCGTATCCTGCTGGATTGGACGGGCAAAGTGCTCTGGGCGTTCCCGCCGTTACCACTCATTCCCCGTGTCCTCTCACAGCTGTCCACCCAGCCAGCTCGGCTGCTTGTGCTACTGGCACCGCTTTGGCCGTCAGAGCTGGTTTCCGGTAATTCTCAGGTTTCTGACTCAGCCTCCTGTTCTATTACCTTTGCAACCCGACATTCTCACTCGCTCGCGCCACACCCCAATCCACGGATTCAGTGGGTGGCTTGGCCTCTGTCAGGTCTAGCCTCGAGGCACGTGGAATTCCTGCAGCAGTTGCAGACACAATTCTGGCTTCGAGGCGGGATTCGACAAACGTTCAGTACGAGGATAGGTGGTCCCGCTATGCATGCTGGTGTTCAGATAGGGGGATTGCAGATCCCTTTTCTGCGGATTTAGTCCGAGTATTGGAGTTTTTGCAAGCTCGTTTGGAAGAAGGCCTGGCGGCTTCGACCATTCGTGGCTACTCCACCGCTATTTCCACTTTTCACACCCCTGTCGATGGTGCTCTTCTGGGGCAGCACCCTCTTGTACAGCGCTTTTTAGCTGGCGTGGATCGGGTTCGACCTGCTGTCAGGCGAACCAGCCCACCTTGGGATTTATCAATTGTGCTCGATTGGCTGTCCGGTCCTACGTTCTCACACCTATCGGCTATTTCCATTCAGTTGTTAACCTGGAAGGCTGTATTTCTGGTGGCGGTAACATCTGGACGTAGGGTTGGCGACTTACATGCTATGTCGTCCGACCCGGCGCTGACTGTGTTCCACACTGATCGTGTCAGTATTTGCCTCCCGGATACTTACCGCCCGAAGGTCGTACACGCTTTCCATGTGACAGCTCCTATCGAACTTCCTACTCTTACCCAGCCTTCCACATCGGGGACCTCTCCTACGAGCACTCACCCGTTGGATGTCCGTAAGACTCTCAAGGTCTATATCAAACGAACACAGGGGATCCGTACGGGTACCCAGCTGTTCTGTTGTTACGGTGGCGGGAAGGCTGGTGTGCCGGCGAGCAAGCAGACTTTGTCTCGCTGGCTCGTCTCGGTCATTTGTGCTGCGTATCAGGCTAAGGGCAAGCCTCCCCTTGAGGGGTTGAAGGCTCACTCGGTCAGGGCAGTAGCCACGTCAAAAGCTTTTGCATCGGCACTCCCCATTGAAGAGATCTGCTCTGCCGCTATTTGGAGCCGGCCTAGCACGTTTATTCGGCACTATCAGCTCGATACACATTCTCGTGATCGTGCGAGCTTTGGCCGTTCGGTTCTCTCCGGTGGACAGTGTCCTGCCACCCTGACCGAGTGAGTCTTGGTTCATTGGTTTTGTTGACGCTGCTGTTCAATATTGTTTTATTGACATGTCCGCTGCTGGGTGTATAACCTCCTTTCGATCCTTTACGGAGGCTATGGTCGGTAGTGAGTGTTTTTTCCCCCCCTACGGTGCTCTCTAATAGACCATAAGGTGGGTGGGGTTTGTTTACATTCGCACCATGTGCGAATTCTTATGCTAACCTGCGAGGTTGTCTATGAGTACATTTCCTCCCTGTCGGTTACCCTCCCATAATGCCTCTCGCGGAAGCACAAACCGGGACATGTGACAGGTGAGTGATTATAGCGTCTGTTCCATCATTCAGATTAACGATCGCTATTTGTGTGTGCTTTGACAGAATTCCCTCCTCCCTGGCCTCCGGTCTTTGGGAGTCTGTGTTTATGCATAATATGTACCCCAAGGACGATCTCTATGAAAAAGAATTAACCAAACCTGAAGAGGTTTTAAATTCTTTGAAGAGAGTCGTCCTTGGGGTAGGGCCTCCCGCCTCCCCGCAATTCTGTTCACTGATTTATTCAGCAGAAGGAATGATGATACGGGCCTAGGTACTTACCCAGTTGGTGCGCATGCTCAATGGGAGGTAACTCCACAAGGTGGGGGCCGTATAATAAATAAAAGGTTTTTATTTATTGTACAATATGTTTATTCAAAAACATTGATACAACTGTCACAGGACATTTTCAGCCCGGAAAATGCATAATATGTACCCCAAGGACGACTCTCTTCAAAGAATTTAAAACCTCTTCAGGTTTGGTTAATTCCTGATCGCCTTAGCAACAGCAGCAAGGATGTCGGAAATACATGCTCTAGACTTTGAAAGGACACGATTTGATGAAAATCGAAACATCGTGCATATGGGACTGAGATGGGACTTCATAGCAAAGAATCAACTGCCAGGTCAACCGGACAGACAATTCCACATCCCAGCACTATCATCAGTCCTTGGGCCACAGGATACACAGGACCTATCCTTATGCCCTGTAAGAGCATTGAAAGTCTACCTATAAAGGTCTAAGACCAGGAGACGAAAATTCAAGCGTCTTTTCATACGTATATCGACGGAGATCTCTCGCACTACGATATCAATATGGATGAGAACTGTCATACTACGGGGCCTACAAAGCAGCTGGACTTGATCCTCCAAGAGCCTCCAATCCACATGAAATTAGAGCTCTGGCGTCAACACTCGCTCTGCATGGGAATTGCTCTATCACGACGATAATGGAGGGCTGCTTCTGGAAATTGGACATGGTGTTTGCCAACCACTACCTGAGAGACATCGCCACTGAGGACGTCTCTGGCATTCACCATTTCGGCCCACTTGTTGTAGCACAACAATTGACAGTTCCACAGAGGCACTGAGACAGAGTCTCGCCCTTTTATCACATGACTTGCAGAGGCCTACACTCAGGAGAGTTACAGCTTTAAAGTCCATATGCACGTCTAAGACAGACTAGCATAAGTGATAAGACCCAGTACTTGTAGGGACGTACTCGTACATAAGAAGGGTCGCTTCTCTACTTGATGCTTGCATCAAGAGATGGAGTCGCAAAAATCCACATAAAAATGTTAACAGAAGCAAGGACCAAAAGTTAACAATTGTGGTCCCCCCATCAGAGAAAGCTGGAAGTAAAGGGTTACAGCAGCAGCAGAGCCTAGCAGTAAATTGAAGTGCTACCAGGAAGTTCCCATAGGGGTATGCAAGACGAAATCACTAATTGGAATCCAGAAGTGGCTTGACCCACCACCAGATCCGGCCGGATTCTACAAGCAATAATACATGAGTCAGGATAAGGAAAAATATGTAATTTTCTGAGTAAAATTGATATTTTATACTTATCCAGACTCATGAGGTAAGCCCTCCCAACCTCCCCGCTAGGCACTTAGAATTTCCCTGTAAATCGAAGTGTCGGGCTAGCAATTCAGAGAGAGTGAGGCGTGGGAAGACGGGTGGCGCCGTTTTCCCGCCAAAACCTGAGGGAGACAACTCTTTGTGAGTAGTGATTTTACGTCTGCTTTTTTGAAGGGAGCTTCAAAAAGGAGATACAAGTGTTACACTAACGTTCGGGAAAGGAAGGAGACAAGCAATAATACATGAGTCAGGATAAGTATAAAATATAAATTTTATTCAGAAAATTACATTACTGTATGAAGAGTTAATAGTTAGACAATTGGCAGGATCATGGCAGAGGCATGACTTCACTTACTAGCTGGTGAAAGATGTTCTGTTGTAATCACTGTTATGGACTTCATAACTTGAAAGATGACATCTCAGAAACCACTTGCCTAGAACTGAAAAAAACAACTCTGGCATTGATGATCCTGTGAGTGGTGTCTTGTGTTGGTATGATTCTTAGTCTTGAGTTATTGAAGTGTTGTCATGATATTATGTTTTTCGGAAACTTGTGATGTGATGTTTTCATATTTCTTTTGCAGTTGATAATTGGGACGTTTTTGAGAAAGTTGTTGACTACGCATATACGAAACACATAAAGACCGAGTCACACTACCATCCAGTGATGATGTCTGAGCCAGCGGTAAGCCGTTAACATCAGTGTACAGGAGTTAGCATCTGCATCTTACACTCTGACAAGCTGTCATTGGGATTATGTTTATCAACTCAAGTCATTAAAATGACTCAACCCTCTTTTGGCAACCATTTGTCATTGTTTTCTCTGTTATGCCAATGATCATTCCTCAAATCTGCCTCTTGACACAAATACCAACCCAAGTTTCTGAGCTTTGTGATCTTCATGTGCCAGTTGATCATGTTGATTCCTGTTACAGTAATCTGAAAACCTGCTGGGGTATTTGGTAATCCAGGTTATGATGTAGCTCCATGCATGGCTTAAATTATGACTGTTTGTAATATGATATTTCAGTGGAACAGCAAGGCGAAGCGAGAAAAATTGACAGAACTGATGTTTGAGAAGTACAACCTCCCAGCGTTTTTCCTGTGTAAAAATTCAGTGTTATCAGCGTATCCTTTCAGTGAAACACTTATGAAACAATCTTTAAACCAAAGTCCAGTATATCTTGTACACTGTTGTTTGTGCCACCTATCTTGGTTACAGGACACTTACTTTATGTAGTCTGGTTTCTAGATAGATTCTCATCTTCTGTCTGGGACTCAATCATTTAAGCAGCTGTGGTCAATATTAGCACAGTGAGTTTGATGTGACAGTGATTTCACCTATGAGTGAGTGAGTGACTGCATTCAGGTTTAGGTTGCTATTTATGAAGTCAATCTCAGTGATCGCTTGACAGTAACTAGTCAAAAGATCTTCTCCAAATGAGAATAGTGCAAAATACTGGTGTCCAGGTCTAATTCAGTACCGGTATAATGCCAATTCTTCCATGAATGTGAAAATCACAAGATTCTAAATGGTCCATCAATAACCGCAGCCTTTTTGATGGCCATATCACAGCAGAAACCTGTCTTAATGTCACTGTCCAAAAAGACTTTCATCTGCACCAATATCAAATATTAATGTTGTGAACTTCTGTTCTTATGGTGTAATGGTATATCTACCTATTTTTTCTTATCCTGAATCATGATCTTTTGCTTATCTCCCTTTCCTTTTCGAAAGGTAGTGGAACACATGAATCCCTTGAAGTTCCCGAAGCGGACATAAAAATACACTCACCCACGAGTTGCCTCCCTTTTCCCGCGTAAACAGTCATGTGACCAGCCTTACTTGTCACTCTCTCCCGTTTCGCCCAAGCGGATGGTTGGGTGAGCACTGGAGTCCCTTATGCGGCATTATATCCTTTTTATATAGGTCCTATTCTTAAAAAATTACGCTGTATATGGATTTGGCAATAACCACTATGTATTATATGTAAACATTTTGTACAAATTATTTGTATTTGTGTCATAATTTCATCGCTATGTAACCCTTTTTACATTTTATGAAATCTTGCAGTGTTTGCAGGCACAGGTTATCCGTGGCTGATCCTCACCCCCAGTGCCCTTCGTGCATAAAACCATGTTCTTCCAGCTTGCGCTGTACTTATTGTGTTGATTTATCAAATCTTCAGTTTAATCAATATTTGTCTTATATCTTAGACGTGCCATGGATCGGGTGAGGAAGTCATCTCAAGTCACGGCTGATAAAACAGGAGATCAGCCTATAAACTGTATGTTGCTTGCTACTGCTGAAGTTCATAATACTGGTGCTATATGTTTAGTGCGTCTGCTGGTACGGGGGCCAAGAAGAGATCGGCTACAACGCAGTTGACTCCGACTCAAGCTAAGAAAAAGACGTCATCTTTTTCTACGTCACAGAAGAAAGCATCTGTTACCAGATCGGAGGGTAAATCTATGCGTGCTGTTCGCGAATCTTCAGTTCGCGAAGGGATGATGGAGGTTCGAGAAGGGATACATGTTCGCAGAAGGATGATTCGCGGAGGCATAGCTCTACCGATCAGGAGATAACTGATGAATAACCAGACTTCGTCTTCCCGAACTCAGAGGTTACAGCTTGGATAGCCAATGGTTTGAACTTGGAGTCTCCTTCTAGGGACAGATGAAGTCTACACTTATAAGATGCGTAATGATGACTTTGACTCGGTGACTATTCTGATTGAACCTATATCCAAGGTACCTTCTAACCTACGCACAGCTTTGAGAAAGCTGCAGACATCTACAAAGTTCGAGAACTCTCAGATCTACAGGCAGATAACAGCAACGCAGACATCTACAGGGTTCGCGAACCCTAGGGTTAACAAACCCTTACATCAACAGGCAGGATGTTGACGTCGACTCTATTACCATAAAGCTGAATAACACGAAGCAATGATGAAAACGGATGGTTTTGTCAGAGTGTAAAATTCAACAAAGAGATCTACAACATGTGCGATCTCTACAGTTTACAACCTGCACAACTCTACATCCTGCACAAACTTTATACCTGTATTGGTTCAGTTTCGGACGATGACCTACTTGATGAAAGGAATCACTTCATCTATACGGATGCTGAGGTCTTATACCGGGTAGCAGATGGCCTGTGGATATTGTCGTTCACTCACTCACTCACTCCAACCCAACAGAGACGTACTGCATATAAGCTGATGACTTCGACTCCAATATGATATCACCTATGAAGCCGATATCTCAAGTACTGGAGAACCTCAAGGTGACCTTTGTAAAGGGCTTAAGGTTAACAATGCCTTCAAGTATCCTTGAACGGAAGTACAGATGATATTATTAACACTCTTCACTCAGAGTGGGGATTAGGATTTAATATCCTATCAACGTGATTCAACATCAGTATTTCTTCAAGATCCATACAGACATATGTCTCGACAGCCTCCTTCGTCATGCTGGTTTATATTATCCACAATGGGAATACGTGATTTATATCACTGAACAAGAATTTACACTTGGAGCAACCCTTATTCAAGAGGTTTATATGAGCGGCGTAGAATTACGTGCGCTTTTACTCAACCAACTAATTGCATCAGATTTTATGGAGGCCAACTTGCTACAATGCCGGTGACGTCATGCTTGGATGCTGATTGGTCCACGTCAGACAACGCCTCCCACGGACAGAGCAGGCTCCAGCATGTTTTCTGATTTGAGGCGTGTCACATACCAGGAGCCTAGAACGTACTGGCAGATGCTCTCTCAAGACCACTACACCCGTCACCTACGGAATGGATGCTCCATCCAGAAGCGTTTCGGAACATAAGGGAGATAGAATCCCCTTGCATAGACCTGTTTGCCACGAGGTTCAACAAAAAACTACAAACGTTTGTCTCGCCAGTTCCAGATCCTCAAGCCTGGGCAACAGATGCACTGAGCATGTCGTGGGAAGGATTAAACGGCTACGCCAGGGCAGCCAAAGCAGTAACGCTAGCGTTACGCAGATCGACCGTAACCTATATGACGACAAATGGCTGAAGTTTGAGACTTATGCAAGGCGGAAAGGCTTCACAGCGATGATAGCCACTCATCCTCAAGTGGCGGAATATCTGTGTCATCTTAGACAGACCGGACATCTGAAGGGTTCGACACTATCTACATACCTCGCTGCAATCAGTACAGTGATTACGATAAAAACAGGCATCAAGTTGACGAAAGTACCAGAATTACTTGCTCTGCTGAGATCTTTTAAGCTGGAGGACCAGCAAAAGAAATTCAGAGCTCCGGCCTGGGATCTGAATGTAATTCTACGTCATCTTACAAGTGATGCCTACGAACCACTAGATCAGACTACCTTCGAGCTGCTGACACAGAAGACTCTGTTCCTGCTTGCGCTAGCCACAGCAGCTCGCATATCGGAGATACATGCGCTGGACTTTGGTCGAACCACATTCGACAGATGGCAACATAATGCAGTTAATCTAGGACTTAGATGGCACTTTATTGCCAAGAACGAGCTACCTGGTCAACCAGATAGACAGTTCCACGTACCAGTGCTGTCTACAATCCTCGGTCCACAGGATATAGAGGACTTATCCTTGTGTCCAGTCAGAGCCCTGAAGATATATCTTCAAAAGACTGACACGAGGAGACAAAAATTCAAGCGCCTGTTCATCCCATTATCAACAGAGACTTCAGCAGAAGTCCCAAGAACGACCATATCGTTCCGGATGAGAGCCGTTATATTGAGAGCCTATACAGCAGCAGGACTAGAACCTCCTAGAGCTTCCAACCCACACGAAGTCAGAGCACTGGCGTCAACACTAGCTCTGCACGGAAATTGCTCTATACCAACAATTATGGAGGGCTGCTTTTGGAAGTCGGACACGAAGTTTGCCAACCACTACCTCCAAGACATATCCACTGAAGAAGTCTCCGGCATTCACCAATTTGGGCCTCTCGTTGTAGCACAGCAACTAACGGTTCCTCAAAGGCGCTGAGTTCGAAAATCTCACCCTTTATCACGATGACTTGTTGATAACTTTTACTAAGGAAAAGTACTAGTTTGAAAGTCCATGCGCACAGTCTAAGACAGGCTAGCATGAGTGATTAAAGATCCTGTACAGGTACAGATCTTACCTGTAAGTGAAGGGGTCGCAACTCATTTATGATAAAGTTCTTATCATAATCTATGTGTTGTTATGAGATATCTAGTAATAGGAAGATACTAGTTTATCTATAGCCACATGAAACAACATGATTCAACTTGTCTGAGATTGAAGTAAGACAAGAAAGTGGTCCCCCCTAGTTATAACAGAGGTTGGAAGAATAGGATAACGGAAATGCCGTTCGTAGTCCTAATGGGGGGGATACAGGACGTATCTAAGGACAGCTGTTGAATCCAGTGGCTTGACCCACCACCAATCTGTCGGATTCTATAAGCAAAAGATCATGAGTCAGGATAAGGAAAAATATGTAATTTTTTATGTAAATTTGATATTTTATACTTAACCTGACTCATGACGAAGAAGCCCTCCCAACCTCCCCGTTGAAGACATTTGAGATTTCACAGCAGATCCAAGTGCATGGGCGGAAAATCAGGAGAGAGTGACAAGTAAGGCACATCACATGACTGGTTTGCGCGGGAAAGGGCAAAGGGAGGTAACTCTTGGGTGAGTGTATTTATACGTCCGCCTCGGGAACTTCAAGGGATTCAAGTGTTCCACTACCATTCGAAGAGGAAAGGGAGATAAGCAAAAGATCATGAGTCAGGATAAGTATAAAATATCAATTTTACTTAAAAAATTACATATTTTAGGTATATAACTTTTATTCAATTACTAGTATCTGTGAGTATCCTTATCTGCTGTTAGTTTTGCCAATGGTCGTTCGACAGCGTTAATCCTGGATAGTGGAGCTACACACACGTCAGCAGTTCCAGTGTATGATGGATATGTTCTACAGCATGGTGAGTAGGGATCAGTAGCATCCCGTCCATATCTCTGTAGCGGCCAGCTGTCTCAGATGCTGCATTCCCTTAGGGAGAGATGCATCTCTTAGACACCCTAGGATTGTGTGATTGTTGGATTGAATCACAGACTGGCCTCGGTCATTGCCAAGTTAAGTGTTTTTTTGTCCCAACGTCACACCCTGACCTAACAGCTATGACCATGTTCTAGGTGTAGGGATGGTCGTCATGTTAATACATGCAATCCATCATATGTACAACTTGATGCTATTGTTCTTTGGTTGATGCTGTTTTGGAGAGGGTAGCAAGTTGTCATCCATTAGATTTTGTGTTAAAGGAAGGAATAAGACTCTGCAGGAGATTATACAGCCACAGTTTGTTTATTTCTCACACAAAATATCAATGCTATTTGTGATTTCTTTAAGGATCTTAATAAAATATACACACTTTAAGAAGACTGTCTGAGTACAACCTATGAACAGTGGAATATCGTTGGTATTCAGGAATCTAAACATTTAACAGACATTTAAACAGCACAGCATTTCAAGGAACATACAAGTTTGGATCATATATAAGCCCCACATCCACCATGTAAAGGACAGCAAATGTATTTGATTAATAAGGCTTTATCTTATCTGTTTATGCTTCAATTTGTTTCAGGTATAGTAAAGTCCCCCTTAGCAGGAGACTTTATCACAATAGAATGCAAGAAACTAATGGAAGAACAAGACATTGAAGTTGTGCCACCATATATGATCAAATCCAAGGTGAGAAGACAACTTGTTGTACTCCATATGCTTCATTCTGTTGTTCACTGGTTTCTCACTCATGTGCCTTATTGGAACTGGGCAAGTCTTTAAACATTTTCCATGATGGTGGTGTAATACATCTTCTAGTCCTCCTTATCATCATTTGCATAATGCTTCTTTTCATGCCATTTTGATTTTTTCTGTTTGTAATCGTAGTGGTTGTCAGATCTCCCTATGTATGCTTAAAGTTTAAGAAGAACAGGATCTTTACTTCTCCATGTAAGTTCACATTTAAGTCTGAAATTCAAGTTGTCCCCAAACCATGTTTTTCATGGTCACAGTTTAACCCAGTGTGGAAACAGGCTGTGAGTTACAATGTTGGTAGCTTGTGTGGACACAAACATATCTCTGCCTTGTGAACTTGTTTGGGTGTGGACACAAACATATCTCTGCCTTGTGAACTTGTTTGGGTGTGGACACAAACATATCTCTGCCTTGTGAACTTGTTTGGGTGTGGACACAAACATATCTCTGCCTTGTGAACTTGTTTGGGTGTGGACACAAACACATCTCTGCCTTGTGAACTTGTTTGGGTGTGGACACAAATATATCTCTGCCTTGTGAACTTGTTTGGGTGTGGACACAAACATATCTCTGCCTTGTGAACTTGTTTGGGTGTGGACGTTTCAGGAAGAAGTGAAAGAGATGAGTAAGGCTAACTGGCAGAAGAGGGACGTACCGAGTGTCACCAAGTCTTTTCACAACTACATGGTCAAGGTGAGTGGACACAGCTGGGGAATACTGGAACAGACAGACAACTAGAGTATCATGTTCTATCATACCACCAGCCACAGGGGTAACACTACCAGACCACAGGGGTAACACCACCAAACACAGGGGTAACACTACCAGACCACAGGGGTAACACTACCAAACAGGGTAACACCACCAAACACAGGGGTAACACCACCAAACACAGGGGTAACACTACCAGACCACAGGGGTAACACCACAAAACACAGGGGTAACACCACCAAACACAGGGGTAACACTACCAGACCACAGGGGTAACACACACCAAACACAGGGAAACCACCACCAAACACAGGGGAAACACCACCAGACCACAGGGGAAACACCACACAGGGGAAACACTACCAGACCACAGGGGTAACACCACGAAACACAGGGGTAACACTACCAGACCACAGGGGAAACACCACCAAACACAGGGGTAACACTACCAGACCACAGGGGAAACACCACCAAACACAGGGGTAACACTACAAGACCACAGGGGAAACACCACCAAACACAGGGGTAACACTACCAGACCACAGGGGAAACACCACCAGATCACAGGGGAAACACCACCAACAGGGGTAATACCACCAGATCACAGGGGAAACACCACCAGATCACAGGGGAAACACCACCAGACCACAGGGGTAACACCACGAAACACAGGGGTAACACTTCCAGACCACAGGGGAAACACCACCAAACACAGGGGAAACACCACCAGATCACAGGGGAAACACCACCAGACCACAGGGGTAACACCACGAAACACAGGGGTAACACTTCCAGACCACAGGGGAAACACCACCAAACACAGGGGTAACACTACCAGACCACAGGGGAAACACCACCAAACACAGGGGAAACACCACCATACACAGGGGAAACACCACCAGACCACAGGGGTAACACCACCAAACACAGGGGTAACACTACCAGAACACAGGGGAAACACCACCAAACACAGGGGAAACACTACCAGATCACAGGGGAAACACCACCAAACACAGGGGAAACACTACCAGACCACAGGGGTAACATCACCAAACACAGGGGAAACACCACCAAACACAGGGGTAACACTACCAGACCACAGGGGAAACACCACCAAACACAGGGGTAACACTACCAGACCACAGGGGAAACACCACCAAACACAGGGGTAACACTACCAGACCACAGGGGAAACACCACCAAACACAGGGGAAACACCACCAAACACAGGGGAAACACCACCAAACACAGGGGAAACACCACCAGACACAGGGGTAACACTACCAGACCACAGGGGAAACACCACCAAACACAGGGGTAACACTACCAGACCACAGGGGAAACACCACCAAACACAGGGGTAACACTTCCAGACCACAGGGAAACCACTACCAAACACAGGGGTAACACTACCAGACCACAGGGGAAACACCACCAAACACAGGGGTAACACTACCAGACCACAGGGGAAACACCACCAGACCATACACCACCTGACCACAGGGGATACACCAACAAACCACAGAAGAAACATTACCAGACCACAGGGGAAACACCACAAGAACACAGGGAAACACCACCTCAACACTGGGGAAACACCACTTCAACACTGGAGAAACAGACAACACTGGGGAAACACCACTTCAACACTTGGTAAACACCACCAGAACAGAAGGGAAACATCACCAGAACCTAGGAGAAACACCACCTGAACAATGGGGAAACACCACCTGAACAATGGGGAAATACCACCTCTACACTGGGGAAACATCACCAGAACAGAAGGGAAACATCACCAGAACAGAAGGGAAACATCACCAGAACACAGGGGAAACACCACCAGACAATACACCACCAGAACACAGGAGAAACACCACCAGACAATACACCACCAGAACACAGGGGAAACTTCACCACAAGACAGGAGAAACACCACCAGACAATACACCACCAGAACACAGGAGAAACACCACCAGACAATACACCACCAGAACACAGGGGAAACTTCACCACAACACAGGAGAAACACCACCAGACAATACACCACCAGAACACAGGGGAAACACCACAAGACCACAGGAGAAACACCACCAGAACAAAGGGGATACACCAGCAGACCACAGGGAAACACCACCAGAACACAGGGGACACACCACCACAACACAGGGAAACACCACCAGATCACAGGGGAAACACCACAACAACACAGGGGAAACACCACCACAACACGGGGAAACACCACCAGACCATACCCACCAGACCACAGGGGAAACACCACCAGATGACAGGGGAAACACCACCAGAACACAGGGGAAACACCCCCAGAACACAAGGGAAACACCACCAGACCATACACCACCAGAACACAGGGGAAACACCACCAGATCACAGGGGAAACACCACCAGACGACAGGGGAAACACCTCCAGAACACAGGACCACAGGGGAAACACTACCAAATATGCACCAGGGGAGGGCTTTGACACAGATTCTCCCATCACACTCTAGTGTCTTTAAAGGTTCCATGTTTTTGATATTCCAGGATGTATTCCAGGACTATGCTGCATCTGTAATACAAGTGTCCGATACTCCCTATGACACCAGGTAACGAGTTGAGTCTGTAATACAAGTGTCCGATACTCCCTATGACAGCAGGTAACGAGTTGAGTCTGTAATACAAGTGTCCGATACTCCCTATGACAGCAGGTAACGAGTTGAGTCTGTAATACAAGTGTCCGATACTCCCTATGACAGTGTCAGCTCCTATGACGAGTTGAGTCTGTAATACAAGTGTCCGATACCTATGACAGCCTAGGTAACGAGTGACAGGTAATGAGTTGAGTCTGTAATACAAGTGTCCGATACTCCCTATGACAGCAGGTAACGAGTTGAGTCTGTAATACAAGTGTCCGATACTCCCTATGACAGCAGGTAACGAGTTGAGTCTGTAATACAGAATACAGCAGGTAACGATAATACAACTCTCCTATGACAGCAGGTAGTGAGCAGGTAATACAAGTGTCCGATACTCCCTATGACAGAGTAATGAGTTGAGTCTGTAATACAAGTGTCCGATAATCCCTATGATACTGTAATACAAGTGTCCGATACTCCCTATGACAGCAGGTAATGAGTTGAGTCTGTAATACAAGTGTCCGATACTCCCTATGACAGCAGGTAAGTTGAGTTGAGTCTGTCTGTAATACAAGTGTCCGATACTCCCTATGACAGCAGGTAATGAGTTGAGTCTGTAATACAAGTGTCCGATATGACTCCCTATGACAGCAGGTAACGAGTTGAGTCTGTAATACAAGTGTCCGATACTCCCTATGACAGCAGGTAATGAGTTGAGTCTGTAATACAAGTGTCCGATACTCCCTATGACAGCAGGTAATGAGTTGAGTCTGTAATACAAGTGTCCGATACTTGAGTCTGTAATACCCGATATGACAGCAGGTAAGTTGAGTTGAGTCTGTAAGTTGAGTCTGTAATACAAGTGTCCGATGCTCCCTATGACAGCAGGTAATGAGTTGAGTCTGTAATACAAGTGTCCGATACTCCCTATGACAGCAGGTAATGAGTTGAGTCTGTAATACAAGTGTCCGATACTCCCTATGACAGCAGGTAATGAGTTGAGTCTGTAATACAAGTGTCCGATACTCCCTATGACAGCAGGTAACTGAGTTGAGTCTGTAATACAAGTGTCCGATACTCCCTATGACAGCAGGTAAGCGAGTTGAGTCTGTAATACAAGTGTCCGATACTCCTATGACAGCAGGTAATGAGTTGAGTCTGTAATACAAGTGTCCGATGCTCCTATGACAGCAGGTAATGAGTTGAGTCTGTAATACAAGTGTCCGATACTCCCTATGACAGCAGGTAATGCTCCCTATGAGTTGAGTCTGTAATACAAGTGTCCGATACTCCCTATGACAGCAGGTAACGAGTTGAGTCTGTAATACAAGTGTCCGATACTCCCTAATACAAGTGTCCGATACTCCCTATGACAGCAGGTAATGAGTTGAGTCTGTAATACAAGTGTCCGATACTCCCTATGACAGCAGGTAACGAGTTGAGTCTGTAATACAAGTGTCCGATACTCCCTATGACAGCAGGTAACGAGTTGAGTCTGTAATACAAGTGTCCGATACTCCCTATGACAGCAGGTAATGAGTTGAGTTGAGTCTGAGTTGAGTCTAATACAAGTGTCGAGTCTGTAATACAAGTGTCCGATACTCCCTATGACAGCAGGTAATGAGTTGAGTCTGTAATACAAGTGTCCGATACTCCCTATGACAGCAGGTAATGAGTTGAGTCTGTAATACAAGTGTCCGATACTCCCTACAAGTGACACAGCAGGTAATGAGTTGAGTCTGTAATACAAGTGTCCCTCCCTATGACAGCAGGTAATGAGTCCGATACTCCCTATGACAGCAGGTATTGAGTCTGTAATACAAGTGTCGATACTCCCTATGACAGCAGGTAATGAGTTGAGTCTGTAATACAAGTGTCCGATGCTCCCTATGACAGCAGGTAATGAGTTGAGTCTGTAATACAAGTGTCCGATACTCCCTATGACAGCAGGTAATGAGTTGAGTCTGTAATACAAGTGTCCGATGCTCCCTATGACAGCAGGTAATGAGTTGAGTCTGTAATACAAGTGTCCGATACTCCCTATGACAGCAGGTAATGAGTTGAGTCTGTAATACAAGTGTCCGATGCTCCCTATGACAGCAGGTAATGAGTTGAGTCTGTAATACAAGTGTCCGATACTCCCTATGACAGCAGGTAATGAGTTGAGTCTGTAATACAAGTGTCCGATACTCCCTATGACAGCAGGTAATGAGTTGAGTCTGTAATACAAGTGTCCGATACTCCCTATGACAGAGGTAATGAGTTGAGTCTGTATGCTCGACAGCAGGTAATGAGTTGAGTCTGTAATACAAGTGTCCGATGTTGAGTCTGTGATAGCAGTGTCCGATAGTCTCCCGATATGACAGCAGGTAACGAGTTGAGTCTGTAATACAAGTGTCCGATGCTCCCTATGACAGCAGGTAATGAGTTGAGTCTGTAATACAAGTGTCCGATACTCCCTATGACAGCAGGTAATGAGTTGAGTCTGTAATACAAGTGTCCGATACTCCCTATGACAGCAGGTAACGAGTTGAGTCTGTAATACAAGTGTCCGATACTCCCTATGACAGCAGGTAATGAGTTGAGTCTGTAATACAAGTGTCCGATACTCCCTATGACAGCAGGTAATGAAGTCTGAGTTGAGTCTCCCTAATACAAGTGTCCGATACTCCTATGACAGCAGGTAATGAGTTGAGTCTGTAATACAAGTGTCCGATACTCCCTATGACAGCAGGTAATGAGTTGAGTCTGTAATACAAGTCTCTGATACTCCCTAATACAAGTGTCCGATACTCCCTATGACAGCAGGTAATGAGTTGAGTCTGTAATACAAGTGTCCGATACTCCCTAATACAAGTGTCCGATACTCCCTATGACAGCAGATAATGAGTTGAGTCTGTAATACAAGTGTCCGATGCTCCCTATGACAGCAGGTAACGAGTTCTAAAGTTCTCTCCCTCCAAAGAAATAAGGGGCACAATATATGAAAATAGAATCAGTCACACATGAATACAAAGTCACTGAACCTGACAGTCATTATTCTATGCTTTGCTGTTCTAGTACTGCCGAGAGCATGCCGACCATGCACTATGAGTTTCCAAATGGCTACAACCAGGATTTTGGAGCAGAAAGATTCCGAGTGTGTGAAGGACTGTTCGACCCTTCAGTTATAAAGGTAACCCATGGAAACATGTAACATTCACAGTAAACTATACAGTAGAAAACAAATACACCACTCTGTGATTTAATTCAGGTAGGAAGGCGTTTCCTATTCTCGCGGTACTTACGGCAGAAAACGTATTTACCGCGAGAATAGGAAACCCGCGAGAATAGGAGACGGACCTATACACATAGCCCAGGCATCTGAGGCTGGGCAGTGTGGTGTTCCAGAATCCCAGATTGTCAATCGTAATCTGTTAGCACCATTCCCATGCTTGTAGACTTTGACATGCTGTGTCTTAGACATTACTGTGGCCATTCCTCCCACTTTAAACTTCCACATGTTGGGCTGACTCCACATACATTGGAAAATAACTAACAAGGCATCATTGTTGGAAAGTTGTTGACAATCCCAGTGCCATTGCTATCACAGCACAGCTATTGGTAAGGTATGGTTACATGGTCTTTAACTACCTCAGACCACTGCAACAGTTCAATGTCCACCTCCTTTTGATGATACAAAACATGAAAAAAAATATTCAGCATCTGATCATTTGAATTTAGTTTACCTTTGCTATGAATTGTTCAAATAGATATTACTCCTGCTAAGAGAAACTGGAGAATTAAATCCTTTGCATTAATTTGTTTTGTTTTCACTAAGACAGACAAACAAGGGTTATTATTGTTGCTTTTGTTCCAGGATGTTCCAGGGAACACTATGCTCGGTGTCGGTCACGTGGTCACCACCAGCGTGGGCATGTGTGACATCGACATCAGGCCGGTATGTTTTGCTGTCATCTCAAACTCAGCCTTCTCTCCATTAAAGGTTATATTGCAGGGGGTGATTTATGAGAATTGATTAAGTGAAACAATGCCCATATCCACATTTATGAATACAAGCAACAGATTCACACTGTAACGGTTAGAAAATCCAGTGAAAAGCTTCTCACCTAGCGTTCAGAACTTAAATGCAGCTGACAGGTTTTTTCTTGAATACCTTGCAAAGAGTATTGCCATTACAAAACATTCATTCTTTGGTGCAGGTCAGTATGTCAAATGCCAGTCTCAGTAGAATGTTCGTTGTTATTCTTTCAGATAAAGAATGTATTTACTAGGGTAGGATTAGATTCCATTTATAACCATCCTGTTGACATGTTTTAGTAGGCTCACATTTTCAACTATATTGACAACAATATAGTTATATGCATTTACTTCACACTGAAATATTATATGATTGAATCCCTTGTTTGAATGTGTTTTTGAGCCATGTAGTGACCCTGAGTTTATGTTGACAGAGTCTGTACAGCAGTGTGATAGTGGTGGGAGGCAACACACTGGTGGGAGGGTTCACAGACAGACTCAACAGGGACCTCAGCTCCAAGACACCACCAGTAAGACAGTCACTGAAGGGGTACCGAAGTAGAGTACCCTGCTGTGTGATTGGTGGATGCTGACTTTAGTTCTTGTTCCACAATAGTTCTCTGTATATGTTCTTATGAATAATGCTAGTTAACAACAAGTCCAGCTGTGTAGCAGGGTGCATGTTATATAGTGACCAGGAGGTTCAACCCCCATAGCCACGCCGCCATTGATAGCATGTGACTCAAGAAATAGGTCCGGTGTTACTATATATCCGCAGTTCCAGTTTCTGTGTGTGTTTCTGGATTAAACTCCTCCCAGTGGTAACGGGAAATACTGTTAAAAAGTGTAAAACATATTTAAAGTTTATCTGTTAATATGTTATAACAAAAGTTCCCAAATACATTGACATTTCAGCATGGTACTGCCCTGTTCACTCCATCTGAAGGGAAACAGTGTAGTTTTGACTGCACACCATATACAAGATGCTCTGACTTCATGCAAGAAAATGCTTGACTTTAACTGGATGAATTAAATATCCGAAAAAGATCTTTGTGTTTGTGTGTGTAAATAGAGAATCTCACCCAAGTGTCTTCTGATATCAATTATATCGACCCGAGTTGATAAAGTTACAAATGTCCGAGGCTTGCCGAGGATATTTTTAACTTTATCAACGAGTGTTGATATATTTGATATCAGAAGAAACGAGGGTGAGATTCTATTTATCATCCAAAATCACTCTTCATTAATTTTCAATGAAAAATGTACATCTCTGAACATGGTACTGCCATTAGACTTGCAGTGCAGCGATGTCATAGCATTGTGACGTCATCAAGTACATGACGTCATAGCATTGTCAGGGCATTGTACAAAATCTACTGTCAAAACGATATCTCCTAGGAGATATCGTTTGATCTCACACAAGCGATATCTCCTGTGGAACACAGTTTTGGATGATAAATCAGATTATCCAAAATCTTTTGTAAATGGGAAAATTTCTCTTGCAGAGTATGCGTCTGAAGATCATTGCTGCATCCAGTTCATCAGAGAGGAGATTTAGCAGTTGGATTGGAGGTTCAATATTGGCATCGCTGGTATGGCATCTTCATCTATAGTCATAGGCAAATATTGCTGACACTACTAAACTTCCTTCTCATAGTTAGTATTACCTTGCAGAGGGGATGTGTAATCATGGCAAAATGACATTCCTACATTCTCCGGCCAGCAGTAGTGTCTTGCAGCCTCACAGTGTCAGTGTGACAGCTGCCCCTTTTACAAGTGACGACACCTGCTCAGATGTTTTATGTCTGATTGTCGTGGCTGCAGTTGTCTGTATGCTGAATGTGGACATTTCACTTGCTCAAGGTGTTACACATTCAAACAAAACTTTGAAGTCATGTTTTAACCAAAACTGTTCCCCTCATGAAAAGTTTCGCCAGTTTTAAACCTTTTAAGATGGAACTTTAGGAAGGAAGTTAACCAATTTCAAACAATTTCAAAACCTCCACAAATGAATGTTATTCCACTGTATCTTGATGATTATGTTAGCATCTGTCTGTCACTGCAGGGGTCCTTCCAGCAGATGTGGATCTCCAAGCAGGAGTATGACGAAGGGGGCAAAGGCTGTGTGGAGCGGAAATGTCCCTAACTACTATGTGAACTGAAGAAACTCAATCATAACCCATCGTGTCGGAGCCGCTGTCATCAAGAATTGTATCATTACCCATCAAATAAACACAATAGCTCAATGTGGTTGTCTTTTTAGAATTGTCAGAGCAGTCATACAGCAGGGTATTTTGAAGTTTTGAAGTTTTCTAGTGTCTTGTGTGAATCTGGAACATTCTATCTGTGCAAAAAGGATGATTTTAGATTGATTTAGGTCATAAGAATATAAGTAGACCAGCAAAATTTCAATCACTTTGAATCAGTCATGCTAAGACAGCTAGAGTTTAGTTCCCCTACTGCTATATCTCTTTTCAGTCCTCTTTACATAACAATGTTTTGTATTGTAGACTGCACATAGTTGCTTTTAAGTGTATGTTATAGATATACATTGTATAAATCGATCTAAGAATGCATTTTAATGACACCAAGTATCTGCAAGAAAGGGAACCTTTTTAAATTGAGTACAACAAAACTTGACTAAACTTCCTTTCAATCTCAGGTTAGAAGAAGCAATATATGCTCTATAAACTTTCACTGGTTAGGAATCAGTGAATTCTGAATTGAGACTAACAGGGGCCGTATCCAGAACTGATGTCATATTATCAATGATTGTAAACGTCGTATGGGCCCAAATAATCATTCTGTTTATACTGGAATTCAAATGTCATCTTCTCTGAAAGCTTTCTCACATAATATAATTTGCAATCACATACTACTGAAATTACTCATGTGAGAGTCCAAGGATTGAGGAGCCACAGGGCCACATGGTTGTCTCAAGACATGACTGGTGAGGTGAAGATGCTTACTATGCGTGACCTGGAAAATTTGATCATCACACCAAAACTGTCATGTCATTGCTCATGCCATCAGCCCCAGATTTACCCACTAGTGACCACTACATTCAGCTGGAGCATTGGTGATAGGCATCAAACAACATTCACAAGTTGGGGGTAAACTTTCTCGGGGGTTCAGTATAATGATTACAGACAAGGCCAATGTCCAGCCATCCGTGAAACCATATCAAGGAAGTAAGAGACATTGAAGTATGCATCTCATAGAAGTGAATGTGAGAAATATGATTTTGTTTTTTGTGACTTTGACAGTTTTAAGTTGTTCCCAGGTCTTCTTTGTTGGAAGGTGTCTCTGACAGTAAATTGTCATGGGATATGGCTCACCAGGGCAGGAATAACCACTTGTAATGTCCTGGCATAACCTTTAGATACATGGATATTAGTAGAGTATCTAACATGTCCCCGGTGCTGAAATATGTGTTACATATGTGTCCCCTCGACATGAATCAAATGACTATCCTTGTTCAAATCCCAGTTGGGACGGTGGGGTAGCCTAGTGGTTTAAGTGTTAGCTCGTCATGCCCAAGACCCGGTTCTATTCCCCACATGGGTACAATGTGTGAAACCCATTGCTGGTGTCCCCCGCAATGATATTGCTGGAGTATTGCTAAAAGCAGCGTAAAACCAAACTCACTCAAATCCCAGTTTTCCATAAATCTCGATTCTTTGTTTGCCAGCACCATGTTTGCACCAATCATGAACAAAACACTTGGTGAACTCAGCTGTTGGTGACAACCAGGATAAGATTTGATTGTGATTGCTTGTTGGGAATATTACAGCTACAAGGCGGCGGTCTGTAAATAAATGTGTCAACCAAGTCAGCGAGCCTGACCACCCATCCCGTTAGTCGCCTCTTATGACAAGCATGCGTTACTGAACACCAATTCTAACCCGATCTTCACCAGTGAGATTTATTTGTGAACAAAGCTCAGTAAAGGAAGCAGTTCTGTTTAATATGTGTCTTGTACATATTCTGTTGTAAAAATTGGTTAAACATAATACATGTATGGTGTAACCGACTCGGCAGATTCCATAAAGTAATACAGTATCTTGACATGTGTTTATCATATTTGTTTGGGTGTTTGTAACATCTCATATAAGAAACAGGTTTTGTGAACTAAACTTATTTGGTTGTCACATCTAAAACTGATGCGACTATAAATTCTGACTCACTCACTCACTCATTGCCATATTTTATAGGCTTTGTTGACTGATTCGTGAGTGAGTTTAGTTTTACGCCGCACTCAGCAATATTCCAGCTATATGGCGGCAGTCTGTAAATAATCGAGTCTGGACCAGACAATCCAGTGATCAACAGCATGAGCATCGATCTGCGCAATTGGGAACCAATGACATGTGTCAACCACATCAGCGAGCCTGACCACCCGATCCCGTTAGTCGCCTCTTACGACAAGCATGGATTACTGAAGGTTCATTCTAACCCGGACCTTCACCGGTTTGATTCAAAAGCCTTGAAGTTATATTGCCTTTCAAAGCCAGTATGATAAAAAATCACAAAGAGTAGTATATACAATGATTGCCCGAGACCAAGTCCAATAAAAGCCTCTGTAAAGCTTTATTTCATCAATAAAGCTTTTGTCAGGCCCTTAGATCTCGCCACCATTGTATATACTACTTTTGAATCTCCAGTTAACTTCCCGGCCACACGTTCACTATCGCAACCTACAGCTGTACCTGCTGTTGGGTATGAGGCTGACCAAAATACACAGGGTGCTCGTGTTCGACCAGAGCCACTGGATGGAGCCCTACATCAGAATGAACACGGACCTACGAAAGCTGGCCACCAGTGACTTTGAGAAAAACCTCTACAAGCTCATGAACAACTCGGTGTTCGGTAAGACAATGGAGAACCTGAGGTAACGTGTGACCGTGAAGCTGGTTTGGTCGAAAGAGGAAGACAAGCTCAGGAAACTGATAGCCAGCCCGGCATTCAACCGGAGCAAGATATTCACCGACGACCTGGTGGCCCTACACATGAAGAAGAGCCACATCAAATTCAACCGGCCTGTTTACATGGGGATGAGCATCCTCGATTTATCCAAACACTTGATGTACGACCTTTACTACAACGAGCTCAAGAAACAGTACGGCGCCAGGTGTGAAGTGCTGTACACGGACACTGATTCCCTGCTGATGGAGATTCGAACCGAGGACGTGTACAAGGACATGAAGAAACGCCTTGATTTGTACGACACCAGCGACTACCCCAAGGACTATGCCATACACAGCACAGTAAATCAAAAAGTGCTCTGCAAGATGAAGGACGAGTGTGCCGGCACGCCCATAGCTGAGTACATAGGCTTGAGACCCAAGATGTACTCCATCCTGAAGGCCGACAATGGTGAGATCCGAAAGGCGAAGGGGTCAAGAAGTACGTGGTGAAACAACACATCAAACACGCCAGATTTAAGGAAGCCCTGTTCAAGACCCGCACCTTCAGGCATCAAATGAACACGCTTAGAAGCGACGGGCACAGGATATACGGACTGACGATAAACAAGACGTCCGTATCACCGATGGACATGAAGCGTTGGATAGCCATCGACGGGATCAACACGTACGCGTACGGGCATGAGAAAATTGAACCAAGAACATAGGTGTATATATAAATACCCTGTCGGGGCGACAACGATGTCACGGAACCAAAGAAAGTTTGAGGCTATTTACTACAGCCCACGTGGGTACTGGAAAAGAGCTAGCGCCGTACATAAGCTGGCCAAAATGGCACGAGTACCCCCGGACGAGGCCAAAGCGTGGCTTGAAAAACAAGCCCTGTGGCAGATCTATATACCGGCACCACGCTACATGCCCCGAAGAAAGTTCGGCATTAACATACCCAATAGCGTCCACCAGGCCGACCTCCTGTTCCTACCCCACGACAAGAGGTACAAGTATGCCCTAACCGTCGTGGACGTGGCCAGCCCCTACAAAGAAGCCGAACCCTTAACCGCGAAAGACTCGGCCCAGGTAGCCCGCGGATTCGAGCGCATGTACAAACGCAGTCCGCTGACATGGCCCCCCGAACTGCAAGTCGATCCCGGACGGGAGTTCATGGGTGCCATGTCACAACTGCTAGCCAAGCACGGCGTCCAGGTCAGGTGTGGCGCTGCCGGGGCTCATCGCAGTCAAGCCATAGTTGAGAGATTCAATAGGACTTTGGCTGAGCGCTTATTCGGGCATCAGTATGCGAGAGAGATGGCCAACCCGGGAAAACGATCGACGGAATGGGTAGCGCGGCTACCTCAAGTGGTGTCGGTTATCAACCACGAAACCACTCGGCTCACCGGCAAGAAACCAGCCGACGCTATCAAACTGAAATCAGTGGTGGCTGAGTCGGCTGCACCATCGCGTGGGAAGGAGAAACAGATACCCGATAGGGCCCTCGTGAGGTACCTCTACCAGCCGGGGGAACACGAAGGGGACACCCGGAAACGATCCACCGATCCGATATGGTCAGTCAAAACTTACAACATAGATAAAGTGGACATCAAAGCTGACGAGCCGAACTTGTACTACTTGAGAGATTGGCCAGGGAGAGGTTTCGTCAGAGAGGAATTATTAGTCATACCGTACGGCACAATGTTACCCCCCAAGCAAAATATTTAACACTTACCTTGTCAGGTAACCTTAATGGTATCCTGTCAACACGATATAGAGCCATCATGTGATCAGGAAAGTGCTAGTTCGCGGTCATAGTGACACAATAGTGTCACGTGTGACCGGGAAGTTAACTGGAGATTCAAAAGTAGTATATACAATGGTGGCGAGATCTAAGGGCCTGACAAAAGCTTTATTGATGAAATAAAGCTTTACAGAGGCTTTTGTTGGACTTGGTCTCGGACAATCATTGTATATACTTTTCAAAGCGGTGGTTTCATTGAACATAAACTCTTGATAAATGTTTGCTCAGTCATGATATTAGACTTGATACAAAATGGAGCAATACATTGTATTATAAGAATAAAATGGAAATGGAATTTTATGTATGGACCATTAAATATCCTGGAACTTCCAGACATTTAAAGATTTTTGATAGAGCCAGTCACGTCATTCTTCTGAACATCCGGCGTGCTATGTGACTGACTTAGTAAATTGTGTAGAGGATTTATCAGACCAGATTGGGTTTCCAGAAAACCCAAGGCCATCTCTCTTGATTATCAAATGAAGGGCCTCCAAGGTACCAAGGCAAAACCACAAACATGGCAAAACAGATATCAGAAACTGATCTTATCAATCAGTGCTAGATTCCGGTAAGTATTTTTCTTAGAAGTGGTAATTGGCCTTTTAGAGTAGTGGTCCATTTAAACCTGTATATCGCCAGCATAGAGCGCCACAACCAGGATAATGCCGAATCCGCAGCACAAACCAAGCAGTTGGATCAACGTGACACCGAAAGCCCCCCGATCCATTCTTGATTGCTTTGTCTGCTGCCTCGCTCATCTCGGGGAGCTGAAACATGCCAGTAGGAACATGTCAAGATCATGTAAGTTGTAGCATTGTGATGAGGGATATACGGTGGATAAACCTAACGATGGGGCGCATAAAACCCCGTATACCCCGAATCATTAATGCTACAACGAATTTATCTTACCGAATGTTTAAATCTCCCATTATGTAAATATAACTTTAGAACAAACTGAAATTCAATCATATATTTTACTAACATGATACTGACGAGTCGATCCGAACCACTGGTTCACGGTTCAATGACTGCCGTGGCTGCATGCTTTTTCCACGGGGCGAGTTATAAATGATTTATTCTCCCCCCGCAAAGATTTATACCCCGCTTGGGCGGTGTACGACCGTGGACCAGGCATACATGATAATTTGTTCAAGGTCACGTGAACCAATCAGAGATGGACATTCTTACATGAGGCAGTACAATCTCATTTGTCTCCCTGTACACACCGAGAAACCCATGGCCCTAATGGCAGCAGTTGGCTGGGGACATACCAGTAGGAACATGTTAAGATCATCTCATGTGTCTCCCTGTACACACCGAGGAGCCCATGGCCCTAATGACAGCAGTTGGCTGGGGACATACCAGAAACAAATGCTGGTGGGTTCGAATCCCAGTTCGTTCAGACACATATTTCAGCATACCCATACTTATTGGCTTCCACAAAGTGGCTGTCGTCTAACAACTGCATGGCGTCGGGCTCGCTCCTCAACCAAAGCCTGACTATGTAGAACACATTTTTAAGGATAACAACTTCTTTATTTCGTGAGTGCGAAAGTGCGTTTCGATACAGATTCTTGTACCGTTTTACCTGCTTGAGAACGGTACAAGAATATGTATCGAAACGTCGCACTAACGAAATAAAGAAGTTGTTACCCACAAACATTGTCGTACATTGTACTTCTCAACTTCTAAAATGCCACTCAAACAAGTCAAAGGCTGACTCCAGTTGTGCTAATGCAGGACATTGGAGTGTTGAACAAAACTCACTTTCAACATACTGTATAGGTGCCTGTTCTGGACTTGAGAATGATCAGCTTCAGTAGAAAATGTACTTGAATAATGCATGTGTTTTCTATGTTTTTTTTATCGGATTTTGTGAAAGAGCATAGTATAACGTGTGTGATGTTACTACCACTGACTGACTTGTTGTATAACTGTACACCGACGGACTTTAAATGCTAAATTCACAAAATATGCCTCATTGAAAACGTGTGTCAGATTATTTCAAATCAGTTTTACAGTCTTTTCAAAATAGTGTGTCTTGGCTTTCATCGAAATCACTTATCCACGTAAATGGCAGGACAGACTATGTCCGCCTGCCATGGGTTAATGATCCGACTTACCATATCGACAAGTGGTACATAGAGAAATATTCCTGCTGCAACAGCAAATATCCACTGGTTTGCTGCCGGGTTCTCTCCCAGGGAAATGCCGCCAACAAGACCAATGATTCCACAGACTGCAGACAGTGTGTTGCAAAACAGCGCTTTCTTCATCGTCATTCCCGAGTGCAAGAGGATGGCGACATCGCCTGTTAACACATAACTGTAGTACTTGCATCTTACAACAGTAATCTGACAATAACAGCTTCTGGCAATCTGACAATAACAGCTTCTGGCAATCTAACAACCATAGCTTCAGGCAATCTAACAACCACAGCTTCTGGCAATCTGACAACTGCAGCGTCTGACAACCTGACCTCTACAGCTTCTGGCAACGTAACAACCATAGCTTCTGGCAATCTAACAACCATAGCTTCTGGGTCTCTATGTTTATCACATCGTGGAGCCATACACATTGCCAAGGACAGACTTTCAACCTGTGTTAAATGAACTAAAGGAAAAAATTAACAATGCCACACTGTATGAAGTTTATACAGAAATGCATACAATCCTTTCCACGAGAGCCATAATGAATGATTGTCCTACCTAGTTCGTGGGGTATTTCCTCACACAAGATGGCAATGGAAAGACTTAGTCCTGTTTTGATACTTTTAGAGTAGGCAGCACCAACGGCCAGTCCATCTACAGCCTTGTGTATTGCATCTCCTAGCAACATTATCCATGCTACTGTCTGAACCTTCTTTTTCTCTTTTTTCATCGGATTCTGTTCATTACTTGGGAGAGACGGCGACTGTTTCTCTTCAATTTCATTAGCAGCAGGTTGCAGTGCGGCCATTTCACCGCCTAGTTCACCCTCCTCCACCACCAGTTCAGTAGAACCATGTTTCTGGTCTTTGTCAGACTGGAACAGTTGCAAGTCAATCTCACTTAACTGGCTGAGATGTGGAATCGGGTAAGAAGATCGGACTAAATTGAAGTCGAGCTGTAAATGTAAACACTGGACTTCCATAGACCCTTAAAAACCCACCTACAATCGACAAATATACAGATACACACAATCACTCATGAATACCAGGAATCATTCACAGAGACCCGCACATACCTCTAGGTACTTACTTTGACCCAAACAGAATCCTAGACACGGGACTCATGAACAGTTAGTCAAAGGGTTCAAGCTGACACCCGCAGGGAGCTACACAGGGCACACCAATGTTATCAACACAAACGAATTTTTTCAGCATTACAAAATCACAATGTGATACAATATGCTGATGTTATGAAAATCGAGTACTTACTCCTCTAAATACACTTTTTAACACCCTCTCGGACATGTAGAAGAAGAAAATTCCGCCCAACACTGTAGAGGTTTTCCATATGTAGTCATCGGCCGTCTCTTCTATATACATCAGTTCCAGAGACTGTGAACAGCACATGTGATAAGTAGGTGGAACTGTCCCAAAATTGACAATGAAAGCGATATCTCTAATGTACGACATGAATAGTATTGTGGTAAATCGGGTTGCTCGTTGGACACCAGTGCTGATTTCTGTAATCCCCAAAGTAACATTTCACTTTCTATAACGTTGTTCAGTATCTAACCTTTCACCCATTGGGGCTCATTTATAGATTTAAGTTTCAACAAAGATGCCTTGTTAATCGTGTCGCATTAACCAGATCAACCAGATTATACATTTTACAGTTGCAAACAGACCTATGCATGGGGGTAAAGTTGCTTGTTATTCTAACAGACTTACTTCTGTGATGAGCAACGTTTTACTTCTGACAGAAACGTCAGTCAACCAATCCAGAATGCATAAATGCAAACCGAGCAGCGCGCAGAGCCCTAAGGCAGTTTAGAACTAAGCTCACTGATTATCACCGCGCAATTTATTGTAGACAGAGAAATGCATATAAGACTTGTTGTAGAAACTATAAATCTGATCTCGCTAAAGTACGACTAGATAATCTCTGTAAATCTTCAAAATCTCCTTCAAAATTTTGGAAACAAATACGATCGCTACAGAATCGGGAAAATATAACTTCTCCTATTTCTAAATCTGAATGGCTAGGACACTTCAAAAATCTATTGGCAAATACTGATATATTCAATGACAATGCCACTACAATTGAAGATGATACCATATACTCCGATTACGATGATAGCGTTGATGAACAAGTGTTAGATTCTCCAATAACAGAAAGAGAAATAAGGCAAGCTATAAGACACGACATTTACAGAGGCGGAAAACAGCTGGACCTGATAATGTTATTATAGAATGGTGAGTATGGGGAGTGGGGAGATACTTACTTTACATACATTCACAGATAAGATGTTTAAAATACTGGCTTAAAATTCTTAACATGCCTAACCATCGCATTCCAAAACTGTCCTATAATATGTTGGTTCACTTAGATAGTATTGGCAAAGTAACTTGGGCATCAAGCATAAGATATGTATTATTTTCTCACGGTTATGGGTATGTCTGGTTAAACCAAACTGTTGGTCATATTGATGTTTTTATTAACGATGTTCGCAATGGAGCAATTAATATGTTTCACCAGGAATGGCAATCAAGTTTGAATAATAGCACACGCTATGATTGTTATAGGACATTTAAAACTTTACTACAACCAGAAAAATATTTATCTGTACTTAGATGCAACGATTTAAGGTATAAGTTTATAAAATTTAGACTAGGTTTGCTAAATTTGATGGTAAATGAATGATGGTCCATTGAAAGGAATCAAAGAATCTGTCCATTATGCAAAGAAGCAGTAGAAAACGAAATTCACTTCACTGTTATCTGTAAATTATATGCTGACATTAGAAAGAAATATACAAGAGTATTATCTGTCAAAACCTCCCGATGTAGCTTTTAAATCACTATTATGTTCTCGCAATGAACAAAATATCAGAAATCTGTCAGTGTTTATAAACACTCCACTAAGTTAAGAGATGACTTGGTGGAAACATAGTTACAATTGACTTGTAAAACAAAATAATTATGTATAACTCTGTAAACTGTATGTGGGCCGGAGGCCTTGAATACAATAAAGATCCTTGTCTTGTCTTGTCTTGGCAGGCTTACCTCTGTGTTGAACAAGGTGTTACTTCTGACAGACCTTACTCTGTGATGCACAAGACGGTGCTTCTCACACACTGGGATGGACAAGGTGGTACTTCTGACAGACTTACCTCTGGGATGGACAAGGTGGTACTTCTGACAGACCTACCTCTGGTATGGACAAGGTGGTGCTTCTGACAGACCTACCTCTGGTATGGACAAGGTGGTACTTCTGACAGACCTACCTCTGGGATGGACAAGGTGGTACTTCTGACAGACCTACCTCTGGGATGGACAAGGTGGTACTTCTGACAGACCTACCTCTGGTATGGACAAGGTGGTGCTTCTGACAGACCTACCTCTGGTATGGACAAGGTGGTACTTCTGACAGACCTACCTCTGGGATGGACAAGGTGGTACTTCTGACAGACCTACCTCTGGTATGGACAAGGTGGTACTTCTGACAGACCTACCTCTGGTATGGACAAGGTGGTACTTCTGACAGACCTACCTCTGGGATGGACAAGGTGGTACTTCTGACAGACCTACCTCTGGGATGGACAAGGTGGTACTTCTGACAGACCTACCTCTGGGATGGACAAGGTGGTACTTCTGACAGACCTACCTCTGGTATGGACAAGGTGGTACTTCTGACAGACCTACCTCTGGTATGGACAAGGTGGTACTTCTCACAGACCTACCTCTGGGATGGACAAGGTGGTACTTCTTGACAGACCTACCTCTGGGATGGACAAGGTGGTACTCCTGACAGTGCTACCTCTTACAGACCTACCTCTGGGATGGACAAGACGGTGCTTCTTACAGACCTACCTCTGGTATGGACAAGGTGGTACTTCTGACAGACCTACCTCTGGTATGGACAAGGTGGTACTTCTGACAGACCTACCTCTGGGATGGACAAGGTGGTACTTCTGACAGACCTACCTCTGGGATGGACAAGGTGGTACTTCTGACAGACCTACCTCTGGGATGGACAAGGTGGTGCTTCTTACAGACCTACCTCTGGGATGGACAAGGTGGTACTTCTGACAGACCTACCTCTGGGATGGACAAGGTGGTACTCTGACAGACCTACCTCTGGGATGGACAAGGTGGTACTTCTGACAGACCTACCTCTGGGATGGACAAGGTGGTACTTCTGACAGACCTACCTCTGGGATGGACAAGGTGGTACTCCTGACAGACCTACCTCTGGTATGGACAAGGTGGTACTCCTGACAGACCTACCTCTGGGATGGACAAGGTGGTACTTCTGACAGACCTACCTCTGGGATGGACAAGGTGGTACTTCTGACAGACCTACCTCTGGGATGGACAAGGTGGTACTCCTGACAGACCTACCTCTGGGATGGACAAGGTGGTACTTCTCCTACAGACCTACCTCTGGGATGGACAAGGTGGTACTTGACAGACCTACCTCTGGGATGGACAAGGTGGTACTTCTGACAGACCTACCTCTGGGATGGACAAGGTGGTACTTCTGACAGACCTACCTCTGGGATGGACAAGGTGGTACTTCTGACAGACCTACCTCTGGGATGGACAAGGTGGTACTTCTCACAGACCTACCTCTGGGATGGACAAGGTGGTACTTCTGACAGACCTACCTCTGGGATGGACAAGGTGGTACTCCTGACAGACCTACCTCTGGGATGGACAAGGTGGTACTTCTGACAGACCTACCTCTGGGATGGACAAGGTGGTACTTCTGACAGACTTACCTCTGGGATGGACAAGGTGGTACTTCTGACAGACCTACCTCTGGGATGGACAAGGTGGTACTTCTGACAGACCTACCTCTGGGATGGACAAGGTGGTACTTCTCACAGACTTACCTCTGGGATGGACAAGGTGGTACTCCTGACAGACCTACCTCTGGGATGGACAAGGTGGTACTTCTGACAGACCTACCTCTGGGATGGACAAGGTGGTACTTCTGACAGACCTACCTCTGGGATGGACAAGGTGGTACTTCTGACAGACCTACCTCTGGGATGGACAAGGTGGTACTTCTGACAGACCTACCTCTGGGATGGACAAGGTGGTACTTCTGACAGACCTACCTCTGGGATGGACAAGGTGGTACTTCTGACAGACCTACCTCTGGGATGGACAAGGTGGTACTCCTGACAGACCTACCTCTGGGATGGACAAGGTGGTACTTCTGACAGACCTACCTCTGGGATGGACAAGGTGGTACTTCTGACAGACCTACCTCTGGGATGGACAAGGTGGTACTCTGACAGACCTACCTCTGGGATGGACAAGGTGGTACTTCTGACAGACCTACCTCTGGGATGGACAAGGTGGTACTCCTGACAGACCTACCTCTGGGATGGACAAGGTGGTACTTCTGACAGACCTACCTCTGGGATGGACAAGGTGGTACTTCTCACAGACTTACTTCTGGGATGGACAAGGTGGTACTCCTGACAGACCTACCTCTGGGATGGACAAGGTGGTGCTTCTGACAGACCTACCTCTGGGATGGACAAGGTGGTACTTCTCACAGACTTACTTCTGGGATGGACAAGCCGGTACTCCTGACAGACCTACCTCTGGGATGGACAAGACGGTACTCCTGACAGACCTACCTCTGGGATGGACAAGACGGTGCTTCTCACAGACTTACTTCTGGGATGGACAAGACGGTACTTCTGACAGACTTACTCTGGGATGGACAAGACGGTACTCCTGACAGACCTACCTCTGGGATGGACAAGACGGTACTTCTGACAGACCTACCTCTGGGATGGACAAGACGGTACTTCTCACAGACTTACTTCTAGGATGGACAAGCCGGTACTCCTGACAGACCTACCTCTGGGATGGACAAGACGGTACTCCTGACAGACCTACCTCTGGGATGGACAAGACGGTACTTCTCACAGACTTACTTCACAGACTTACTCCTGACAGACCTTCTGGGATGGACAAGACGGTACTCCTGACAGACCTACCTCTGGGATGGACAAGACGGTACTCCTGACAGACCTACCTCTGGATGGACAAGACGGTACTTCTCACAGACCTACCTCTGGGGTGGACAAGACGGTACTTCTCACAGACCTACCTCTGGGATGGACAAGCCGGTACTCCTGACAGACCTACCTCTGGGGTGGACAAGACGGTACTCCTGACAGACCTACCTCTGGGGTGGACAAGCCGGTACTCCTGACAGACCTACCTCTGGGATGGACAAGACGGTGCTTCTCACAGACTTACTTCTGGGGTGGACAAGACGGTACTTCTCACAGACCTACCTCTGGGATGGACAAGGTGGTACTTCTGACAGACCTACCTCTGGGATGGACAAGGTGGTACTTCTGACAGACCTACCTCTGGGACGAGAACTAAAAGTCCTGTTGCTGCTAACGTGCCGACTGCTGTGGACACCAGGAACATGAGCAGCATTTTGAAGAACGAGGAGTTCATCAGTGGGGCTAGGCAGGCACCAAGGTTGGACACAATGCAGATAAGGACTACGAAGCCAACACCATATGCCCAAACTGAAAACAGATTTGTTTTGTGTATGCTGAGATTTGATGCAAATGGTAAATATAACTGAGGCTTACAAGTGAGATGTATGACGATCAAGTGTGAATAGCTTACAATGATGTATTTAGTATATCAATATCATTGCAAATATTTTTAATAAATACTTCTCTGTCTATGTAAAGATTAATCCATTCTTCCCTACCCCATGCTACAAAAAATTGTATCGATGACGCATACAACTTCTGAAAATGGGATCTCAGTTAATTCAGACAGCTTCATCCAGACGCCATTATAACCTGAAGCTCCTTCTTCCCCCCTCCCCTCCCCTCCCCTTCTCACCTTCCTTCCGCGACGGCATCTTGCGATGTCTGGCCTCCTCGTGGCCATGGCTTCCCCGGTGTCTACAGTGGTCCGCCTCCAGGGACATGACCACCGCCGGCAGTGCTTCATGGAGCAGGGAGGCGTTCAGGTGATAATCCACTGCGTACATCGTGAATACATCTTCGCCAGTGCCACACTGTAGGGGACAATAAACACGTGCCAGTGAAACTCTCTTCAGTTTACAGTATACAGTACCATTCCTGGTAATAATCATGGAAGAATGTAGACATTTAGATCCACTACGACATCTTAACCATGACATGTCTGAACCAGGACAGATGTACATGGAATCTTAATGACACATCTGAACGACATGTTCTGAACCTGAACCTGGCCAGATTAAATGACACACGCAACATCTGAACCAGGACAGATGTAATGACGCACACGGAATCTGAACCAGCACAGATGTAATGACACGCTCGACATCTGAACCAGGACAGATGTTCTGACACACACGACATCTGAACCTGGCCAGATTAAATGACACACGCAACATCTGAACCAGGACAGATGTAATGACGCACACGGAATCTGAACCAGCACAGATGTAATGACACGCTCGACATCTGAACCAGGACAGATGTTCTGACACACACGACATCTGAACCTGAACCAGCACAGATGTAATGACAAGCTCGACATCTGAACCAGCACAGATGTAATGACACACACGACATCTGAACCAGCACAGATGTAATGACAAGCTCGGACTGCACAATGACGTCAAACACATATATTATTTGTGTCAGCTGACAGTAGTCAGCCATTTGACTGTGAGGTGTATGACGTCACGTATACATGTAAAGCAACTAGAATCCCCATTACAGATAGCAATCAGTGACATGTCACGCCCGGCGATGAGAAGTAGGCCAGTTTATGTGGTACGTGACTTCCATCATGATAAGTGAGCAACTGATCTCGGAGTGGACGCGGTTCATACTGAATAGATCTTTTGGTCAGGTGCGCGGTTCCACACTACGACATCCAGAAGCTGTTCAGACTTTGCATTTAGCTCCCTCAAGTCGAAAGTCTGAGGCATCTAAGGTTTAACTGCTGTTGGGAACTCAAAAGAAGTTTGAGGGTTTTTTCATCCACGGAGTCTTCTATAGACAAGACTTTTACTTGTGTGAGCACTGCCGGCCAAGAAGTGCAAGGCAAAAAAGCACAGCAAGGTTGTGCTAGGACCAACGTCATTATGAAAAGCAGTCTTAGGCTTCTAAGCACCCCCAGGTCGTGCAAGGATCCACCGGTCTACTGAATGATGACACTTAGTTTGTCAACCCCATTGCTGTGCTTGTGGACTTTACAAAGTAGTTAGTTCTACGATCTGCACCAGTGTGAGCTTTCCTACCGCAATAATCTGAAACACCATCGTATAAAGGAACTACTGTTAAATGCGTCATAGAACCAAACACACTCACTTTTTATGAATTATGCATCGAAGAATGCAACATCTATGTCAGAAGAATATTTTCCAGCACACGCATACAGGACGTGGAACCCAAACTGCAGAGCCTCACTATGTCAAGAAAGGACACGAGTCACACTGACGAACATAATCTTTTGGGGCTTTATTAATGTGTCAATGCAGAACTGTTGAAGAGGAGTGTCATGTCACATTTAGGAATTACTCCACTTCAAACCCTGGGTAAATACTACCCTGAATATCAAGACTAGATGACGCTATTTAAAATTGGTCCGCCATGTCTCCTCGCGCATACCTCCTCGAGCTATAAATGTTGCTACAATTTTGATAATTTAGCATTAGTACCTGTGGCAAGGCTTTACTTTGTACAATAAGGCCTCCTGCTGTACTTCCTACAAAACACCACGTACTGTTGGGTTTACTGGGAAACAATCAGACGTTTCCCAGTTGTGATCAAACGCCGACTATGTGGAGGGACCCCCGTGTTTCATACAAAATGTCCACCAAACCACACCCCCACTACTACACTTGTAGCAATACAGCTGAAGTACACCATTCTTCTCAACATTGTACCTTGTAAATGTTAGACAACAACATCTACAAAAGCAACAGAATCCATTCAATAACCACAAAAAATTCAAGAGACCATTGCACGATGGCAAATGTAAGTTTTTGAATCCTTCTTTGATCATGATGGTACCAGATGACAGTGAAAGGCGGGCGTATCCTGCCCAGCCACTGCTGACTGTCACATACACGGGCAATGGAAGGTCAACTGTACACCAGAGAAAAAGACATACGAGGGAACAGGTACAAGTTAAAGAAGACAATTATTGTTTTTATTCATGTGAGTGACAGGTGCTACCGGTAGACCATGACACACGTCCCCTTTTCGCGAACACCCAGTAATTCATTCACATAATCTTTACGACTATTTCATGTTTTACTCGCAATGTAATCGAGACTGATTATACTCTGTATGTTCACAGATATGCCAAACTTGGACATGTTATGACCATGTCATACAAAGTGTTTTGAAAGCTTTGCACTGAACGTTGTAACCGTGATCAAACAAAGTTTTTGGCAAGATACGTTTGGTGTTCTTTGAAGTCTTCGGAGAAACACCATGTTCGATTTTGCCACAAATTGTGCCACAGTGTAGACGTTATAGGTTGTAGATGCTTGTATATTGTTTGTTTAGCCATAAATGGAAAGTTACTAATTGGAAAGCTGAAGACATTCCTTATGTCGAATAGTGTTTGGGATATTATTTGGTTCATTTCAAATATTTTGCATATTCCCAACTAATCAAGCAGTTTCACTGATCTCTGATGATTCTAGTTCAGAGCTGCGTTTTACAGAGCGATCACAGCGCTACGATTATCGTATCTAGAATACTTAAACATGAAGTTACGACAGTCGCAGCACTAAGATCGCTTTGTGAAACAGGGCCCAGGGCCTATTTCCCTAGTCGGAAGAAAACGTTAAAGTATTGTAGTGTCGATCTCCTCAGCGCTAAGGTCGCTTTGTGAAACAGGGTCCAGGGCCTATTTCCCTAGTCGGAAGAAAACGTTATAGTATTGTAGTGTCGATCTCCTCAGCGCTAAGGTCGCTTTGTGGAATAAAGCACAGGTGGGTATGTCAAGGAAGAGAACAGGGACAATAATTGATCATCGATATACTTGAGACTTAAGTTGGCGTTGAAATAATTGCTCTGAGACATTTCAACATTTTACATGATCCTACCTTGTCTGTGCATGAAGTGTTAACAAACATCTGGTCACACCACTGAGCTTCATCGCTGCCATGTTCAGCAGAATCTGGCGACAGGTCCTTCACTTGGAGACTGGCATACATGGCCATGAACTCATCTCTGGAGAGAGCAGCGGCAGAGCTGTACTTGGAGATCAGGTTCTCCATGTACATGAGAGACTTTGTTTCCCCATCGCTCTGATGCAAGTCTTCACCCTTGCAGGCTGCACACAGCAGATACAGAGTACAGAGAGCTAGGTGTTCCTTCCACATGATGCACGTAGGTATCTCACACTGCTGTTACCAAAGTTCCCACCACCTTCTCGATTAAGCAATATATTCAAATCATGTTCAGGCTTTTTGCAAGTGTCAAACATATCGTCACAGTAGTTAAGACGTACATTAAAGATCACGCACAATGAATGAATCTCACGATGTTAACTTATAGTATTTAAATTAATAGTGGTTTGGCGGACCATGATTCAGACCCGGATAGGACGCAGTTACACCTGTAGTTAGTGAATGCACACGTTATAAGTTGTGGACGCAGGCCCAGATAGGACGCAGTTAGACCTGTAGTTAGTGAATGCACACGTCATTAGTTGTAGACGCAGGCCCGGATAGGACGCAGTTACACCTGTAGTTAGTGAATGCACACGTCATTAGTTGTGGACGCAGGCCCAGATAGGACGCAGTTACACCTGTAGTTAGTGAATGCACACGTTATTAGTTATAGACGCAGGCCCAGAGAGGACGCAGTTAGACCTGTAGTTAGTGAATGCACACGTCATTAGTTGTAGACGCAGGCCCAGATAGGACGCATTTACACCTGTAGTTAGTGAATGCACACGTCATTAGTTGCAGATGCAGGCCCAGATAGGATGCAGTTAGACCTATACATTTGTAGTTAGTGAATGCACACGTCATTAGTTGTAGACGCAGGCCCGGATAGGTCGCAGTTACACCTGTAGTTAGTGAACGCACACGTCATTAGTTGTGGATGCAGGCCCAGATAGGACGCAGTTACACCTGTAGTTAGTGAATGCACACGTCATTAGTTGTAGATGCAGGCCCAGATAGGACGCAGTTACACCTGTAGTTAGTGAATGCACACGTCATTAGTTGTAGATGCAGGCCCAGATAGGATGCAGTTACACCTGTAGTTAGTGAATGCAGTTACCTGTAGTTAGTGAATGCACACGTCATTAGTTATAGACGCAGGCCCGATAGGACGCAGAGTGAATGCACACGTCATTAGTTATAGACGCAGGCCCAGATAGGACGCAGTTACACCTGTAGTTAGTGAATGCACACGTCATTAGTTGTAGATGCAGGCCCAGATAGGATGCAGTTAGACCTGGAGTTAGTGAATGCACGTCATTAGTTGTGATGCAGGCCCAGATAGGGATGCAGTTAGACCTATAGTTTGTGAATGCACACGTCATTAGTTATAGACGCAGGCCCAGATAGGACGCAGTTACACCTGTAGTTAGTGAATGCACACGCCATTAGTTGTAGATGCAGGCCCAGATAGGATGCAGTTAGACCTGGAGTTAGTGAATGCACACGTCATTAGTTGTAGATGCAGGCCCGGATAGGATGCAGTTACACCTGTAGTTAGTGAACGCACACGTCATTAGTTGTGGATGCAGGCCCAGATAGGACGCAGTTAGTTATACCTATAGTTAGTAGTATGCACACGTCCATTAGTTGTAGATGTAGTTAGGCCCAGATTGGGATGCAGATAGGATGCAGTTACACCTGTAGTTAGTGAATGCACACGTCATTAGTTGTGGATGCAGGCCCAGATAGGATGCAGTTACACCTGTAGTTAGTGAATGCACACGTCATTAGTTGTGGATGCAGGCCCAGATAGGATGCAGTTACACCTGTAGTTAGTGAATGCACAGGTCATTAGTTGTATACGCAGGCCCAGATAGGACGCAGTTACACCTGTAGTTAGTGAATAGTCACTATAGTATGAGTTTCAGAGTGTCTGTGGCAATAGGAGAATAGTATTCACTGTTCGAGGAAATATACTGTTTGCTATTCAATCGTGCACTCACATAGTGTTTAAATGAACAAATATTTTCCATTTATACATATACCACAAATGGAGAAAAATGTCTTTATCTATAATGAAGACGTCTTATAGCTTCGTAATATCAGAGACCGTATATGGGTGTATAGTGTCAAAGATTACCTGAAAATATAAATAGTTGTATATTGTATCAAGGGTTATCATAAAACATAAACCAGTGTATGGTGTCACACATTACCTGAAGCAAACTGGATAAAAAACTATTGACGTTGTCACTCGTTACACTCTCTTCTGTTTGTTGCGAGTCTCATGTGCTGTGTTTTTGCTAAAAGCGGCGTAAAACCATACTCACTCACTCATTCATGCGCTGTGCACAGTAACCATATGCGTTCATGTAAAGATGGAGGAGATATTCGACTTTCCGATATTAATATACTTTATTATTATAATTGAGTGAGTGAGCGAGTTTTAGCCGCACTCAGCAATATTCCAGCTATATGACGGCAGTCTGTAAATAATCGAGTTTGGACCAGAAAACCCAGTGATCAACAGCATGAGCAGCGTTCTACGCAATTGGGATTCGATGACATGCGCCAACCAAGTCAGCGAGCCTGACTACCCGATCCCGTTAGTCGCCTCCTAGGACATGTCGTAATAATTGTTATGTGTCGGTGTTATCAATTGTAAATCAGCAATATAAGTGTATCATGTTGTGTCTGTTGAGATTAAATAGAGGCAAGTTGTTTGCTAGTTATTAGATTTAGCCTGGGAGTCAAGATTAATCTGGATACTTTTCCGGACGCTTGAAAAACCCCGGCGTAGTCTAACCCAGTATGTTACAGAATGTTCGCGATTTACACAGTATCTAGAGAGCCAGCGATCTCTCACCTCGCATTACCCAAGGACCAGAGGACAACATACAGACAGCTGAAGAAACCACTTTATGTGTACACGTGATTTTGTGGTTTCGTGTTTACCGGAGGACTGAAAGAAGTACCGTAACATACTTTAAGCTTTTCACGAGGAATGTGTACAGTACAACCATCTGTTAATGGATACCGTGAACATTAAGAACATAATGAGGTGAGGTGAGGTGAGGTGAAATTGGGTTTAATATCGTGCTTGGGAATATTTCACTCATATGACGACGTGCATGCGTGTGTATGTGTATGTGCGGCTGCTTGTACTAGCCCAGACTGAAGCTGGTTTTATAGTGCTAGCCCATTGAGATACCCTGCCGCAGTGAAGCATAAATACCCCACTTAGACACATTATACTGACTCCGAGCCGACCAGTCCTTGTTGTACCCATTAATGCCGAGCGCCAGGCAGGGACCAACAAGTACCATATTTTAACGTCTTTTGGTACGACGCGGTCGGGGATAGAACCCGCGACCTTCCGCTCTCCGGGCGGACGCTCTATAAGAGGTGAGGTGAGGTGAAATTGGGTTTAACGTCCTACTTGAGAATATTTCGCTCATATGACGACGTGCATGCGTGTGTATGTGTATGTGCGGCTGCTTGTACTAGCGCAGACTTAAGCTGGTTTTATAGTGCTAGCCCACTGAGATACCATGCCGCAGTGAAGCATGAATACCCCACTCAGACACATTATACTGACTCCGAGCCGACCAGTCCTTGTTGTACCCATTAATACCGAGCGCCAGGCAGGGACCAACAAGTACCATATTTTAACGTCTTTTGGTACGACGCGGTCGGGGATAGAACTCCATATTTTAGCGCTCTTTTGACCTTCCGCTCTCCGGGCGGATGCTCTATAAGAACATAATGATACAATATCAAACTTTAATTACATAAATGAACAGGATTAGATGTATTTAGGGTGAGAAAGAATGTATATCCAAGCATGAAAATCTATGAAGACAAAATACAGAATAGTTATAAAAGACAAGTTATAACTTGGTGTGGACTGTTGAACTGATATCATCTATTGTCAGGTTCTCCAAAACGTCCAGGTATTTTAAATGTAAGTAGGGCCAGCACACATAGTTCTTCTGAATCTATTTGTGCTGGTCACCGCATGTTTGTTAAATACGTTTCGCTCACACTGAATCTTATCCCACTGCAAGGGAAACTCCGTATCAGTTCGGACCTCTTACATGTAGACTGTAGAAATAAGATGCTTCCTTGCAGTATATGTTCTGTACACATACGAGTCATATATAGATTTGAAACTTGGACATACTTGAAAATCTTTTTTGTGTGATGTTAACCAAATTACATTTATATCATATTAATAGATGTGGGGTAGTTATTTACATGAGTGAGTGAGTGAGTTTAGTTTTACAGGGCACTCAGCAATATTCCAGCTATATGGCGGCGGTCTGTAAACATTGAGTCTGAACCAGACAATCCAGTGATCAACAGCATGAGCACCGATCTGCGCAACTGGGAACCGATGACATGTGTCAACCAAGTCAGCGATCCTGACCACCCGATCCCGTTAGTCGCCTCTTAGGACAAGCATGGGTTGCTGAAGGCCAATATTCTAACCTGGACCTTCACGGGTCGTATTACATGACTTCCTACTTGTATGTGTGCATTTCTTACCAGTGAGATGTTGTGTGAAATCTGATTTCTTGTAGTGTGTTTGTTGTAGACTGAGGTGGCCTAGGGAATCTATGACCATAACTGGCTGCTCCGTAATGGTTCAGAAAAGAAACAAACATCAATAGTTCCTGTCTTTATTTTATATATACATTTTGTATAAATAAAAACTTAATATAATATAACAATTACATCTTAATGTACATTTGATAAGATATGTTTGGACAGTGATTCTGTATAACAATGAAGTTACTATGGCTACCTTTACACTGAATTTCATGTTGTAAGTCAATACATTTATTGCAATTAATTCACTTCAATAAAGTAAATGCCACACATTTTGTTAAGAATCCTCATCTACTACCACCAGATTAAGCTGAAAAACATCTTGGTCTGAAAGGAACAAGACAAACTGCACAAAAATGTTGGCATGCTTGTTCCATTCGACTATTGGTTGTAACAGATGTTATTTTTGTGAGCATTAGAAATAAGCGTCCTACAAATGTGGGAATCATCATTTCTTACTTTTCACCCCAGTTCTTTACGAGGGGTGGTTGTAAGTGCTGAGCCTATCTACGAAAGACCTACAGTACACACTTAACAGAGTACACAGTTCAATACTTATACTAACAGACAACACATTTCTGAAGGATAGTGCCAAGGTATATGATTTAGGATGCCAACAAGTCAATACAAAGCAGATTCAGCCGACATGAGTCTGATTTGTAACCATGGACGAGTCTTGGGTTCACCTGTAACAGGCAGACATTAAATATCCCCAAAGAAGAAGGCAACGTATGTTCCATCTGTTGACAAGGTGATGGCTCCTGTTTTCTGGTGTTCCCTATGCATCCTAATAGTGGTCACTTATTATGCCCAATTCACTGAGCGTGAGTTCAACCAGGACAATACATTTATGAACAAGTTTGTTGTGATGTTGCTGCTGCCTTGAATGCAATGTATGACAGTGGTTTTGAACATCCTCCATAATTGCCACTTATAAGAGGCGATGCTCCTAAACTTGTTACAAACCTGAAGAAAAGGAAAAGGCTCAGAACTTTTCAGCCACCCCTTGTAGCAAGTAAATCCTAGGTTTAACTATGTACTAAACACATAAATTGATTTTATTACAGCCTAAACCCAGTCAGAGTAACTATGAAGTTCAATGTGAGAGGATATGAGATATTGTTTGGTCCCTGTGTATCCCCACATCCAGTCCCCAGTGCTTATCTCTGTAACAACCTGTATACAGTTGATATACAGCTTCTTATTGCTACTTAGATAATTGTCTTACATACACTATACTCAGTGTACCAACAGGACATAGGGAAACACTGTATCTTCTACAGTGTCACACATACCTGGTGTGAATATGTTACCACGGTTACTAACATATGATGTCTGAAGGTATTCTTCCCATTAATCAATAACCTGCTGTACCATACTCAGTACAACTTAATACTGCCTTTCTCAGCCATACATTGGGAAATGATTCTTCTGAAGTTCCAAAATGTTACTGGAAATAGGAATGTTTCCTTCAATCATATAAAAGTAATTGTTCTAAGGAATCTTATAGTTACATGATTAACTGCCTGTTGCGACTGACACTGACAATACAAGTTAAGTATGTAAGATGCTCCAAGCACCATCCTAGTCATTATCCAACTTTCCTGAAGTTACACTCACAGAAAGATTAGACACAGCATTGCACATTAACACTCATCTCCCTCCCATCTACACTGTATATCTGGACATCAACACATACTGACTATATTTACAGTTTGTTGGATGTCACTTCACACTAACATATAAATATGAGAATATGAAGGTTTTGATTACACATTCAGACAATGATTTAAATATGATTACATACACAGTCTAACATGGAATTACATTTTTCAATATCAACACCAAATCTGATACAAATATAGATGAGCAATGTTTAGTTCATCGATCCATGCAATCTCCATGATCCAATCTGACATGTGGAAATGCCTGTGCTGGTGCTATATCATCAGTGTTCCCATCAAATACATTAACTTACAAGATGATAACAATCACATTCTTAATAATTACGCCACTGGTTGAACAAGCTTGTATGATCAGTACCAAGAAACATAAACACATTTTCCTTTAATTTCAGAAATGTGCATAAACTTAGTAGTTCTGTGAATCACTGTGGACAACTGATTGTGAACCAAGTGGGCTTGAAGATGGCATCCATCACGAGGTATTCAGTGGTCTACCCCTGTTGCTCCTATTTGATTACATACTGCAGGATTAGCATAATTTGATTTCTTCAATTATTGGGATGCATTAACATTTCTTTGAGGTTTCTGATAAGCCAGCTATCATCATCTGTCTCATACTGATGATGTTCATGCCAGTCAAGTCATTCCACTATCAGAATAGCAATGCTTCTCAACACTTATTCTTGAGTATTTGGACTTCTGTCAGTTTCAAAGTTCTTGTGTTTTTGGTCAAAACGAATTACAATATATGTTTAATGAGTTCCAAAAACAGAGATGCCAACCCTAATTAAGCTCAGTTAGTATTTTGGCAAAAAACTGATGCCATAGTTAGTATTTTTTGGGCCCAAATTAGTATTAATTTTTCCAAAGAATTTTCATATTCAATAAAGATAAATATATATATAGGTATTCTTGTAATTAACACTGTACTCACCTAAATCAGTAGTCAGTATCTACATATAGCTTGATACTGAATATGTGGTCGAAATTTATTGTGTATGGTACGTATGCTACTTCATAATTTAATTTAATGTTGTTGGTTTTTTTAAATTCGTATATTTTTACTGTTATCGTAGTCGCGTATTTTGTGTTGTTTTTTCGTAATGAATACGATAAAATCGTATGGGTTGGCATCTCTGCAAAAAGCTTCATCAGCGCCATCATTTGAAGTGTAACAGCACCTGAACTTTCTTCTTACATCATCCTATCATCATCATCATCATCATCATCATCATCATCAGTTCCATATCCCAGGAATACCTTGACCTTAACCCTCTTGCAATAACCATTCCAAGAAGTCTGCAAAATGACCTGAATTGTGAGAAGCATACCTGATGTATCCCAGTACATTGTGTATGTTACGGTAATGTTTGGATACCGAGTGCACATTTCTTTGTCCTTCATGATGACCTAGTTTACAGGATTGCATAATTCAGATCCTCCAGCGGGTGGATTACCATGAGGAGAAGGTAGAAAGTGAGTGATTCCCTGATTAAACACACCTTGCAATAAACATGTTTCAATCTTATCATTTCATATTTCCATGTCATGTCGACATGAGGTTTCCTGTCAGTATCTCCTTAATGTTCCAGTTTCCATTCAACAGACAGCAACACAATGACTGCAAGTATAGTCCGTTTGGCTCAAAAGCGGACCGATGAATTGCAGTCTTACTCGAATACTACAAAACATATAATACTCAATGAAACGCTGATCATAAACAAAACATCAGACCAACTCTGTGAGTTTTTTTGTAGTATATATGTCCTGAAAATCTGAAAAAAAGAAGTTGTTTAACAAACTATCATTAAAATTTTGACACAGTTCACTATTTACTACGGGGGAGGAGTGCAAAGAGAGGAACAGCCAGGTGAATGCAATGCATGGGCTCAAGTGCCGACAAAGTTATTGATTCATTTACTTGTGCTGTGCCGTCTCCATCATTTCTCGTACACCTGGCTGTTCCCCTCTTTGCACTACTCAGTGAACTGTGTAAATATTTTAATGATAGTTTGTTAAACAACATTTTTATTTTTAGGACATAAATTCTGCAAAGAACTCAGAGAGTTGGTGTGATGTTTTGATTATGATCAGTGTTTCATTGAGTATTATATGTTTATTAGTGTTCAAATTAGATTGCAATTCATCGGTCTGCTTTTGAGCCAAACGGACCATAACTGAATGAATAGCTCTACACAACACAAGTAACTGAATGAATAGTTCTACGAAACACAAGTAACTAAATGGATGGCTGCATACAACACACAGATTCAAATACTTAATAGCCAGATATCATGAAGAAGATTTGTCTGTATGAGCTGAAGATAGTTTCTACTGAACATACAGTGTCATGTTTGAGTGAGTGAGTTTGGTTTTACACCGCTTTTAGCAATATTCCAGCAGTATCACGGCAGGGGACACCAGAAATGGGCTTCACACAGTGTACCCATGTGGGGAATCAAACCCGGGTCTTCGGCGTGACGAGCAAATGCTTTAACCACAAGGCTACCCCACCGCCCGTGTCATGTTTGAAAGGCTATGGACTGACTGGTGCAACTGACGGCTGAATGTTATCTACTGTCACACCGGCGAGGATTGTCATGTCATATCAAATCCTTTTTCTCACCTATGACCTCCTGAACGAGGCTGCATGGAATGTTAGTCAATGGATCAACAAATGACAGTTTCACTTTCACGCCTTCCCCTCCCCGACCTCTAAAGACCAATAACTGACTCTATTAATAACGACCAGGACGATACTAGGATCTGGAATATGTCTAAAACAAACATCTGGAGAGATTTCCTAAAGAATCACTCAACATTTGAAAATAAGAAAACAAACAGTTGTTCATGTTTCAGCTTAATGTTAAAAGACCATAAACAAAAACATACTTTGGATGGCTCGTCAACCAGGTAAAGCTGTGAATGTTCAGTGTACTGGGATCTCTCTTCATGTACAGAGATAACTGCATCCCCATCACCTCACGCTGATTATACTGGAACTAACTCCAGTAATATACTGCCTGTTTTAGCCATTTACACACAACACTTCACTTGATGACTAATACTCAGTCCATACAGAAGCGAACTATAAAGACATACAATGTCTTGTGTCTTTGGTACACATCCGTCACCCAGTAAACATCATCCATGAACTATGTGTTTGTGACAGTGTCTGACTATGGAATGGTGCACCTTTCTGCTGCTATGAGCTGGTCAAGGGACAGGCAGTGGAATGATCGTTGGCCAGTCTGACCTGTGCTGCTGGGAATGAAGGTCTGTGCTACCTGCGGACACGGTCCATGTCCTCCACCACAGTGGTCAATCTCTGTCTGGCCTTCTTACTGATGTGGTCCACGGAGCTGATGAGAGCCAGGAGCTGCTTGTTGGAGTATTCCTGGACAGACATCAACAATATAGCAGATCACAGGACATAGAAGAAACTACAGGAACATAGAACCCATCCAAAACAACAAGAACCTCACATGAGGATTGCCCCAGACAACCCTGTATGTAGTCCTACAGTACCTTGTTTCCAAGTGACTCACATTCAAGTACAAACAACCCTGTATGTAGTCCTACAGTACCTTGTTTCCATGTGACTCACATTCAAGTACAAACAACCCTGCATGTAGTCCTACAGTACCTTGTTTCCATGTGACTCACATTCAAGTACAAACAACCCTGTATGTAGTCCTACAGTACCTTGTTTCCATGTGACTCACATTCAAGTACAAACAACCCTGTATGTAGTCCTACAGTTCCTTGTGTCCAAGTGACTCACATTCAAGTACAAACAACCCTGTATGTGGTCCTACAGTACCTTGTGTCCAAGTGACTCACATTCAAGTACAAACAACCCTGTATGTGGTCCTACAGTACCTTGTTTCCATGTGACTCACATTCAAGTACAAACAACCCTGTATGTAGTCCTACAGTACCCTGTGTCCAAGTGACTCACATTCAAGTACAAACAACCCTGTATGTAGTCCTACAGTACCTTGTTTCCATGTGACTCACATTCAAGTACAAACAACCCTGCATGTAGTCCTACAGTACCTTGTTTCCATGTGACTCACATTCAAGTACAAACAACCCTGTATGTAGTCCTACAGTACCTTGTTTCCATGTGACTCACATTCAAGTACAAACAACCCTGTATGTAGTCCTACAGTTCCTTGTGTCCATGTGACTCACATTCAAGTACAAACAACCCTGTATGTGGTCCTACAGTACCCTGTGTCCAAGTGACTCACATTCAAGTACAAACAACCCTGTATGTGGTCCTACAGTACCTTGATTCAAAGTACAAACAGACCACCTACATGTGGAGACATATCAACTACACTGATTCAACACTGACCTCAAGAGACAAATAGAGCGAATGTTGTTTATCATAGCAATCAGTAGTGTATCATCTACAGCATAGTGGTCAGTCAATATTCAAGTCTGGCAAGGACTGAACATGATCAAGTAAACAAGAAAGAGTTGTGTAGTAAACAAGAGTCACTGGTACCTTATGATCCTGCAGCCATGATTCAAGCTGGCTCTCCGGGAGGTAGTACGCCTTGATGTACGTCTCCACAAACTCCCTCTCTGGTATTGGCCTGGAACCAGCAGTTAGAAGTCTTAGAAGAGTATCGGTCAATGCTGTCTTATGACATAGAAGATATCCATTTGTATTCTCTCCTGACAAACAACTACTGCATCACATTACTACTCTGAGTATAAGACACAATATATTTCTGTACATACTTGATGTCTGTGATTCTGTCAAGCCTGGTGACAAACTGCTGGAAGTCAAGCTGCATCAGAGCCCGGCCCTCGTTGCTGCACTTCCTGGCATTAGCATACCTACATCAACAGATGTCACACCACAGGTTTAAGGTCTACCACAACACAGAGAAGCTACATGAGCCATAACCACCATGCCATCACTGTACAGTAAACTGGTGTCATCGGAGTGAATGAGTGATTGAGTCTAGTTTTATGCCGCACTCAGCAATATTCCAGCTATATGGGGATGGTCTGTAAATAATCGAGTCTGGACAATCCAGTGATCAACAGCATGAGCATCGATCTGCATCTGGCCTGATCAAGGGACTTAACTCTACACAGCATATGGCAGTGCCTGAGACAAGTGAACCAACCACATCCCCAATCATCAAAAGCAGCCACAGAAGTAGTCAAAGGATGACATATATTACATTAAACATTTATATAGGTAAAAGTGATACCTTCATAACATTTGTAGGGTCTCATACATAAAGATCTGTTAAAAAGCTCAGAAGGGTCTAAGTTGAGTGAGACAGCCTGAGACTATGGCAGGTGTACTCACCCATCCACAAAGGTCCTGTTGCAGAGTCGGACACAGTGTTCCCACAGAAGGTCCATCACCACTTTAGGTATAGGGACCCGATGGTCAGCTTCGATCAGCTTCTTGTGGAATTCTACCAGACTCTGAAACCGTAAATATTGCATAGAATGCTTGTTCTATATGACTTCAACAAAGAAATTTCAGGAAAAATGACACTATTCTGTTACATACAATTAAGGATTATTCTCCTGGGGTTACTCTTTGCTTATAACTTCTTAATTTTTTCCTTGTGACTGAACAGTATCAATGATGATATTAATAAAAATATAACAGTAAAACATACTAGGAAAGGTATGTGAGCAAGCTGAGCAAGCTGAGCAGGCAGCACCCAAAAGAAGAATGATCAAAGAAATTTGAAAATATTTCTTTGCAAAATCCCCATCTCTGTGGTGTTCAAGTCGATCTGAACATTATACCACAATGCTGATGGTTTTATTTATCTTTGTATAAATATCACAACTAATACAGGTCTGTCACAAGGAAAGAATTTAAGAATGAAATGAGTAACACGGAGAAGCATTAGACAGTGGACATCAGTCACCAGGTATCTCCTGTAATACATCTGTATCTCACCGCAAGTAGATGATCTACATAGTTGTTGTGTTGTGACATGATCTCCTTCACATCCCACCGAACATTGCTCATTTGTTGCAGGACAAACTCGTAGTCTATGGCATGCACTGCCACAGCCTTGTAGATGGGCTTCCGTAATTCTGCTGCCATCTTTACAGTCTGTGGGAAACCATAACACCATAAACTGTCTGATGAAGACAGTGAAAAACTGTTTGAAAGACAATTGATAAGCTGATTTGAGTCCTACAAAGAAAGGCCTTTTTGGCCACTGGCAATGAATAATTTACCAGAAGTATGTGATTGTAAAAACTATTACGAGACATGTTCATATGACAGGCACCTATCAAGTCTGAATGACATTGTTACCTGAGAATAAAACTGTTGTAAGAATGCTTTCTTGTTTGGTGGGATCATGTCCTCCAGGAATGGTTGCAGAAATTCCAGCTGCTCTCCCAGGAACACTCTACAACAGGAAACAATATCTGATCATGCCTACATTTAACATCCTTGAAGGAACACTCTACAACAGGAAACAATATCTGATCATGCCTACATATACATCCTTGAAGGAACACTCTACAACAGGAAACAACATCTGATCATGCCTACATATACATCCTTGAAGGAACGCTCTACAACAGGAAACAATATCTGATCATGCCTACATATACATCCTTGAAGGAACGCTCTACAACAGGAAACAATATCTGATCATGCCTACATATACATCCTTGAAGGAACACTCTACAACAGGAAACAACATCTGATCATGCCTACATATACATCCTTGAAGGAACGCTCTACAACAGGAAACAATATCTGATCATGCCTACATATACATCCTTGAAGGAACGCTCTACAACAGAAAACAATATCTGATCATGCCTACATATACATCCTTGATCATGCCTACATATACATCCTTGAAGGAACACTCTACAACAACATCTGATCATGCCTACACATAGATCCTTGAAGGAACACTCTACAACAGGAAACAACATCTGATCATGCCTACATATACATCCTTGAAGGAACACTCTACAACAGGAAACAACATCTGATCATGCCTACATATACATCCTTGAAGGCGCTCTACAACAGGAAACAACATCTGATCATGCCTACATATACATCCTTGAAGGAACACTCTAAAACAATATCTGATCATGACTATGGTCAACAGCCTTGTAGGACAGGCGACATGAATGAGTTACTGGTAGTCATACATCAAACTATTTATAATTTATAATTATTTTCCAAGTTGGCTACATATTGTAGTGTGACTAGTTGTGTACTCACAGGGACTCGGCGGCCACCACTCTCTCTGCTAGTCCATACAGTCGCTCCCTGGACCGCAGGTCAACTATTGTAGACATGGAGGCCGGCAGGATCTTGTCCTGAAACTCACCATACATGTACATGTTTATCAATCTGACTTACTATTGAACTCATCAACCTGTTTCTGACTCACCATACAGTCCTTTAACTTTACACTTTTACTGACTCACCATACAGTCCTTTAACTTTACACCTACACCACCATATCCTTTACAGACTCACCATTTTTTGACTCACCATACACTTTACACCTGATTTACTGACTCACCATACAGTCCTTTAACTTTACACCTGATTTACTGACTCACCATACAGTCCTTTAACTTTACACCTGATTTACTGACTCACCATACAGTCCTTTAACTTTACACCTGATTTACTGACTCACCATACAGTCCTTTAACTTTACACCTGATTTACTGACTCACCATACAGTCCTTTAACTTTACACCTGATTTACTGACTCACCATACAGTCCTTTAACTTTACACCTGATTTACTGACTCACCATACAGTCCTTAACTTTACACCTGATTTACTGACTCACCATACAGTCCTTTAACTTTACACCTGATTTACTGACTCACCATACAGTCCTTTAACTTTTACACCTGATTTACTGACTCACCATACATTTAACTTGACTCACCACCTTCTTTACACCTGACTTACTGACTCACCATACAGTCCTTTAACTTTTGCACCTGATTTACTGACTCACCATACAGTCCTTTAACTTTACACCTGATTTACTGACTCACCATACACCCCTTTAACTTTACACCTGATTTACTGACTCACCATACAGCCCTTAACTTTACACCTAATCTACTGACTCACCATACAGTCCTTTAACTTTACACCTGATTTACTGACTCACCATACAGTCCTTTAACTTTACACCTGATTTACGGACTCACCTTACGGTTACTGACTCACCATACAGTCACTGATTTACTGAACTTTACACCACCTGATTTACTGACTCACCATACAGTCCTTTTAACTTTACACCTGATTTACTACTCACCATACAGATTTTTACCTGACTCACCATATACAGTCCTTTAACTTTACACCTGATTTACTGACTCACCATACAGTCCTTTAACTTTACACCTGATTTACTGACTCACCATACAGTCCTTTAACTTTACACCTGATTTACTGACTCACCATACAGTCCCTTTAACTTTACACCTGATTTACTGACTCACCATACAGTCCTTTAACTTTACACCTGATTTAACTTTTTACACCTGATTTACTGACTCACCATACAGTCCTTTTAACTTTACACCTGATTTACTGACTCACCATACAGTCCTTTAACTTTTACCTGATTTACTGACTCACCATTTCACCATAACCTTTAACTTACACCTGATTTACTGACTCACCATACAGTCCTTTAACTTTACACCTGGATTTACTGACTCACCATATAGTCCTTTTAACTTTACACCTGATTTACTGACTCACCATACAGTCCTTTAACTTTTACACCTGATCTACTGACTCACCATACAGTCCTTTTAACTTCTTATACAATCTGATTTACTGACTCACCATACAGTCCTTTAACTTTACACCTGATTTACTGACTCACCATACAGTCCTTTAACTTTACACCTGATTTACTGACTCACATCCTTTACTGACTCACCATATCCTTCCTTCTTACACCTGATTTACTGACTCACCTCACCATTACAGTCCTTTAACTTTACACCTGATTTACTGACTCACCATACAGTCCTTTAACTTTTACACCTGATTTACTGACTCACCATGATTTACTGACTCACCATAGTCCTTTAACTTTACACCTGATTTACTGACTCACCTTCTTTGGCTCATACCAGTCCTTAACTTTACCTTGATCCTTCTTTACCTGACCATACAGTCCTTTAACTTTACACCTTACACCTGATTTACTGACTCACCATACAGTCCCTTTAACTTTACACCTGATTTACTGACTCACACCTGATTTACTGACTCCTTTTTACCTTACACACACCTGATTTACTGACTTCATACAGTCCTTTAACTTTACACTAATTTACTGACTCACCATACAGTCCTTTTAACTTACACCTGATTTACTGACTCACAGTCCTTTTACTTCTTTCACCTGGATTTACTGACTCACAGTTTTTAACTTTACACCTTTCTACTGACTCACCATACAGTCCTTTTTAACTTTACACCTGATTTACTGACTCACCATACAGTCCTTTAACTTTACACCTCCATTTACTGACTCACACCTGATACTGACTCACCATACAGTCCTTTTTAACTTTACACCTGATTTACTGACTCACCATACAGTCCTTTAACTTTACACCTGATTTACTGACTCACCATACAGTCCTTTTTAACTTTTACTGACTCACACCATGATTTACTGACTAACCATACAGTCCTTTTTAACTTTACACCTGATTTACTGACTCACATGATTTACTGACTCACCATACAGTCCTTTAACTTTACACCTAATCTACTGACTCACCATACAGTCCTTTAACTTTACACCTGATTTACTGACTAACCATACAGTCCTTTAACTTTACACCTACAGTCCTTTTTACTGACTCACCATAGTCCTTTACTGACTCTGATTTACTGACTCACAGTCCTTTAACTTTACACCTGATTTACTGACTCACCATACAGTCCTTTAACTTTACACCTGATTTACTGACTCACCATACAGTCACCATACAGTCCTTTAACTTTTACACCTGATTTACTGACTCACCATACAACTTTACACCTCCTTTCAACTTTACACCTGATTTACTGACTCACCATACAGTCCTTTTAACTTTACACCTGATTTACTGACTCACCATACAGTCCTTTAACTTTACACCTGATTTACTGACTGACTCACCATACAGTCCTTTAACTTTACACCTGATTTACTGACTCACCATACAGTCCTTTAACTTTACACCTTTTACTGACTCACCATACAGTCCTTTAACTTTTTACACCTGATTTACTGACTCACCATACAGTCCTTTAACTTTACACCTGATTTACTGACTCACCTGACTGACTCACCATACAGTCCTTTAACTTACAGTAACTTTTTACACCTGATTTACTGACTCACCATACAGTCCTTTAACTTTACACCTGATTTACTGACTCACCATACAGTCCTTTAACTTTACACCTGATTTACTGACTCACACCCTGATACAGACTCCTTTAACTTTACACCTGATTTACTGACTCACCATACAGTCCTTTAACTTTTACACCTTTTACTGACTATTTAACTATTTAACTTTACTGACTCACCATACAGTCCTTTAACTTTACACCTGATTTACTGACTCACCATACAGTCCTTTAACTTTACACCTAATCTACTGACTCACCATACAGTCCTTTAACTTTACACCTGATTTACTGACTAACCATACAGTCCTTTAACTTTACACCTCATTTACTGACTCACATGATTTACTGACTCACCATACAGTCCTTTAACTTTACACCTGATTTACTGACTCACCATACAGTCCTTTAACTTTACACCTGATTTACTGACTCACCATACAGTCTTTTACTTTACACCTGATTTACTGACTCACCATACAGTCCTTTAACTTTACACCTGATTTACTGACTCACCATTTTAACTTTACACCTGATTTACTGACTCACCATACAGTCCTTTAACTTTACACCTAATCTACTGACTCACCATACAGTCCTTTAACTTTACACCTGATTTACTGACTAACCATACAGTCCTTTAACTTTACACCTCATTTACTGACTCACATGATTTACTGACTCACCATAGTCCTTTAACTTTACACCTGATTTACTGACTCATCATACAACCTTTAACTTTACACCTGATTTACTGACTCACAATACAGCCCTTTAACTTTACACCTGATTTACTGACTCACCATACAGCCTTTAACTTTACACCTGATTTACTGACTAACCATACAGTCCTTTAACTTTACACCTGATTTACTGACTGACATGATTTACTGACTCACCATACAGTCCTTTAACTTTACACCTTATCTACTGACTCACCATACAGTCCTTTAACTTCACACCTGATTTACTGACTCACCATACAGTCCTTTAACTTTACACCTAATCTACTGACTCACCATGCTATCCTCCGACTCGACGGCCATGTTGCCTGGTATGTTTGACCCTGCTATCATCCTCTCATGTATTCGATGTAGGGTTGTTCTCAAACGATTGTTGACTGTCCGGTCATGGGACACATTCTGCAGAAGGAGGGTTTGAGGTCATGAAGGAGTCCAACAACCACACCACATACCAGCAAACATATTAGCAGTATACACAAAATATACTCACTGCGTCAGATCCAAAGAATGCATATACCTGAAAGAGAAAAAGGAGGCACTGAGGCAATGTACCATTGGGGAGGAACACAAGTAAAACAAGCATATATAAAATGAATATTAAAACACTACTACTACATTACATATATTGTGAATTCACTGTCATAATGTATGCAGCATGATTACAATGAAGGGCAACTTGTCACAAACATAGTCACTACAACGGCTTTTACAACTGAAGTATCATGGCAGATAATGTTTTTTGAAATGCTAACCTCAGTCAGTATGCTATACTTACAGTATAGAGTATGTAATCAAAGAGTTGAGCTGTACAACTGATAACATCATAAGCGATGGGTTTCAACACTGCCATCATCTGTAGATATTTACCTACAACAGAGATTAGCTAAGTTAAAGACACATTAACAAACATCAGATAAGTAGGACAGGCAGTAAGTCATGGGACCTGACATGTCAACACCTACAGTGATAAGTTGTCTTACCTATAACCCGCAGAACATTGAGCGTTGTGTTGCTGATGATAGGTGTATGTTTCTGCTTCCTCCCATGATTTGACCGTTGACGTGTATATCTGACAAAATACAATCATGGCATTCAAATACAATCACGCTTTTGTACAGACAGAATATGAATACTTCCTTGGAGTTCAAGGTATATCCAATAACACAGAGTCTTTAATTGCTAAAAAGCAATGTCCAGCTGGAAACTTAACAATAATGTAACTTGGCAGTGTAATTTAAAGGCCAACATTGTTGATATTGTTGCTCTTAAGATTCAGTACAAGTTCAAAATATTGCCTAACAATATAATAATTAGTTGTCAGGAAGATATTACTGTCTAATGTAAGCAGTGGTGTAGAAGTTACTACATAGTGATGCTTCTGGAGTCAAGTGAAATCTGGTATGCTCAAGAACAATCCAACATTGTATAGAACTTTCTGGAAGATATCTCACATTTGACCAAGACTAGAGGTTGAACATCATATTTGTACCCAGAATATCCAGCAAAGGCCAAGTTTGGAAGCTTGACCACACTTGCAGGTGAATATTCGTATCACACAATCTGACAACGCCAGACCGACACCTGCAGCACAGACGAGTGGATCATTCTGTGCTCCACAGTGGATGTATTTGGTCACTGAAGCACTGACCTGTGGGACCTGGTCTCTCCTGTCAGCTCATCGATGTAATCCTGCTTCAGTTCATCTGCTACATCAGAGTCACTGTCAGAATCTCTGTAGCCGTCGTCATCCTTCTCCTGCCAGACACAGATAAAGTGGCTAAAATCCCTGCCATTTACGATCACACAACTTGCTTCCTACACAGTGTGTCTCCCAAACAATGCATCACATAGCCTACATCACACCTCTTCCTACTATTCAACACATCTCTCAACCATACCATCCCTCTGGATAAAACACCTCTATACAGCGTTCGAAATAATTGCCCGGCCCGGAGGCCCAGCACCGGTTGTTATTGTATCGGGCCGGCAGTTTTAAATATCTGCAGGCCCTTGTGGCCTTCAGTAAATTATCTCTCTTTTTTAACAACTGGAATCTTTCCCTTGTTTTTTTCCCTTTATTAACGTTCAGGAATCATCCATGATCCGTCATGTTACGATAACTTACAGTTTCACTTCCTGGTATTTCAGCACTTTGCACATAGGAATGTCAACACCAGTCTTTAACAAATAAAAAACGTCTCTCTGCACCATAGGCTTCGCTAATTGATTTTGTAGAAACAGTGTGAAACTGTGTACAGTGTAGTCTATTTCGTTTTTATTGGTTTGACTTTAACAAAATGGGCCTGCAGATTTCATTCATGGCCTGTAGATTTTAAAACCTGCAGGCGGCAGCAGGCCCTGATGGCCAACTGGCAAATTAAAGTATTGCAAGCACTGCCTCTATGAGGTGCCACCTTACATCTGAAAACACATCTCTCTACAGTGTCAGATCTACAAGATAACATCTAATGTGCCTCCTGTCCTACATAACAAATCTGCACACTGTACCACCCACCCTGGGCAACATGTATCTCCACTGTACCACCCACCCTAGGTAACCTGTATCTCCACTGTACCAACCACACTGGATAACATATCTCTCTACTGTATAACCCACTCTGGATAACCCAGCTCTATATTGTACAACACACCCTGGATAACATAGCCCTCTGCTGTACCACCCGTCCTGGATAACATAGCCCTCTACTGTATAACACACTCTGGATAACACATCTCTCTACTGTACCACCCGGACTAGATAACATTTCTCTCTACTGTATAACACACTCTGGATAACACATCTCTATATTGTACAACACACCCTGGATAACACATCTCTCAACTACCCACACTTGATAACATATCTCTATATTGAACCACCCACACTGAATAACACATCTCTATATTGTACAAGACACCCTGGAGAACACATCTCTCTACTGTATAACCCACACTGGATAACACATCTCTATATTGTACAACACACCCTGGAGAACACATCTCTCTAAAGTATAACCCAAACTGGATAACACATCTCTATATTGTACAACCCACCCTGGATAACACATCTCTCTACTGTATAACGCACTCTGGATAACACATCTCTATATTGTACCACCCACCCTGGATAACACATCTCCCTACTGTATAACACACTCTGGATAACACATCTCTATATTGTACCACCCACACTTGATAACATATCTCTCTAATGTATAACACACTCTGGATAACACAGGTCTCTACTGTACAACACACCCTGGATAACATAGCTCTCCACTGTACCACCCACCCTGGATAACACAGGTCTCTACTGTACCACCCACCCTGGATAACACAGGTCTCTACTGTACTACCCACCCTGGATAAAACATCTCTCTACTGTACCACCCACCCTGGATAACACATCTCTCTACTGTACCACCCACCCTGGATAACACATCTCTATATTGTACAACACACTCTGGATAACACATCTCTATATTGTACAACACACCCTGAAGAACACATCTCTCTACTGTACCACCCACCCTGGATAACACATCTCTATATTGTACACCACACCCTGGAGAACACATCTCTCTACTGTACCACCCACCCTGGATAACACATCTCTATATTGTACAACACACCCTGGAGAACACATCTCTATATATTGTACAACACACCCTGGAGAACACATCTCTCTACTGTACCACCCACCCTGGATAACACATCTCTATATTGTACAACACACCTTGGAGAACACACATATCTCTACAGGGCAAACAACCAACTCCCATACTTTAACATGACTATGATCGCTTTGTGAAACGGGGCCCTGGAGAACACACATATCTCTACAGGGCAAACAACAAACTCCCATACTTTAACATGACTACGATTGCTTCGGAAACGGGGCCCTGGAGAACACACATATCTCTACAGGGCAAACAACCAACTCCCATACTTTAACATGACTACGATTGCTTCAGAAACGGGGCCCTGGAGAACACACATATCTCTACAGGGCAAACAAACCAACTCCCATACTTTAACATGACTATGATCGCTATGTGAAACGGGGCCCTGGAGAACACACATATCTCTACAGGGCAAACAACCAACTCCCATACTTTCACATGACTATGATCGCTTTGTGAAACGGGGCCCTGGAGAACACACATATCTCTACAGGGCAAACAACCAACTCCCATACTTTAACATGACTATGATCGCTTTGTGAAACGGGGCCCTGGAGAATACACATATCTCTACAGGGCAAACAACCAACTCCCATACTTTAACATGACTATGATTGCTTTGTGAAACGGGGCCCTGGAGAACACACATATCTCTACAGGGCAAACAACCAACTCCCATACTTTAACATGACTATGATTGCTTCGGAAACGGGGCCCTGGAGAACACACATATCTCTACAGGGCAAACAACCAACTCCCATACTTTAACATGACTATGATCGCTTTGTGAAATGGGGCCCTGGAGAACACACATATCTCTACAGGGCAAACAACCAACTCCCATACTTTAACATGACTATGATCGCTTTGGAAACGGGGCCCTGGAGAACACACATATCTCTACAGGGCAAACAACCAACTCCCATACTTTAACATGACTATGATCGCTTTGAAAGCGGGGCCCTGGAGAACACACATATCTCTACAGGGCAAACAAACAAACTCCCATACTTTAACATGACTATGATGCGCTTTGTGAAACGGGGGCCCTGGAGAACACACATATCTCTACAGGGCAAACAACCAACTCCCATACTTTAACATGACTATGATCGCTTTGAAGCGGGGCCCTGGAGAACACACATATCTCTACAGGGCAAACAACCAACTCCCATACTTTAACATGACTATGATTGCTTTGTGAACGGGGCCCTGGAGAACACACATATCTCTACAGGGCAAACAACCAACTCCCATACTTTAACATGACTATGATGGCTTAGAAGCGGGGCCCTGGAGAACACACATATCTCTACAGGGCAAACAACCAACTCCCATACTTTAACATGACTACGATTGCTTAGGAACGGGGCCCTGGAGAACACACATATCTCTACAGGGCAAACAACCAACTCCCATACTTTAACATGACTATGATGCGGCTTTGGAAACGGGGCCCTGGAGAACACACATATCTCTACAGGGCAAACAACCAACTCCCATACTTTAACATGACTATGATGCGCTTTTGTGAAACGGGCCCTGGAGAACACACATATCTCTACAGGGCAAACAACCAACTCCCATACTTTAACATGACTATGATGGCTTTGTGAAACGGGGCCCTGGAGAACACACATATCTCTACAGGGCAAACAACCAACTCCCATACTTTAACATGACTATGATCGCTTTGTGAAACGGGGCCTGGAGAACACACATATCTCTACAGGGCAAACAAACAACTCCCATACTTTAACATGACTATGATCGCTTTTGTGAAAGCGGGGCCCTGGAGAACACACATATCTCTACAGGGCAAACAAACAACTCCCATACTTTAACATGACTACGATTGCTTCGGAAACGGGGCCCTGGAGAACACACATATCTCTACAGGGCAAACAACCAACTCCCATACTTTAACATGACTATGATCGCTTTGTGAAACGGGGCCCTGGAGAACACACATATCTCTACAGGGCAAACAAACAACTCCAATACTTTAACATGACTATGATTGCTTTGTGAAACGGGGCCCTGGAGAACACACATATCTCTACAGGGCAAACAACAAACTCCCATACTTTAACATGACTATGATGGCTTTGAAACGGGGCCCTGGAGAACACACATATCTCTACAGGGCAAACAAACAACTCCCATACTTTAACATGACTATGATTTAGCCCGGAAACGGGGCCCTGGAGAACACACATATCTCTACAGGGCAAACAACCAACTCCCATACTTTAACATGACTATGATCGCTTTGTGAAACGGGGCCCTGGAGAACACACATATCTCTACAGGGCAAACAACCAACTCCCATACTTTAACATGACTACAATCGCTTTGTGAAACGGGGCCCTGGAGAACACACATATCTCTACAGGGCAAACAACCAACTCCCATACTTTAACATGACTATGATCGCTTTGTGAAACGGGCCCTGGAGAACACACATATCTCTACAGGGCAAACAACCAACTCCCATACTTTAACATGACTATGATCGCTTTGGAAACGGGGCCCTGGAGAACACACATATCTCTACAGGGCAAACAACCAACTCCCATACTTTAACATGACTATGATCGCTTTGTGAAACGGGGCCCTGGAGAACACACATATCTCTACAGGGCAAACAACCAACTCCCATACTTTAACATGACTATGATCGCTTTGTGAAACGGGGCCCTGGAGAACACACATATCTCTACAGGGCAAACAACCAACTCCCATACTTTAACATGACTATGATCGCTTTGTGAAACGGGGCCCTGGAGAACACACATATCTCTACAGGGCAAACAAACAACTCCCATACTTTAACATGACTATGATGAAGCGGGCTTTGGAGAAACGGGCCCTGGAGAACACACATATCTCTACAGGGCAAACAAACAACTCCCATACTTTAACATGACTATGATTGCTTTGTGAAACGGGGCCCTGGAGAACACACATATCTCTACAGGGCAAACAACCAACTCCCATACTTTAACATGACTACGATTGCTTTGTGAAACGGGCCCTGGAGAACACACATATCTCTACAGGGCAAACAACCAACTCCCATACTTTAACATGACTATGATCGCTTTGAAACGGGCCCTGGAGAACACACATATCTCTACAGGGCAAACAACCAACTCCCATACTTTAACATGACTATGATCGCTTTGTGAAACGGGGCCCTGGAGAACACACATATCTCTACAGGGCAAACAAACAACTCCCATACTTTAACATGACTATGATTGCTTTGGAAACGGGGCCCTGGAGAACACACATATCTCTACAGGGCAAACAACCAACTCCCATACTTTAACATGACTATGATCGCTTTGTGAAACGGGGCCCTGGAGAACACACATATCTCTACAGGGCAAACAACCAACTCCCATACTTTAACATGACTATGATCGCTTTGTGAAATGGGGCCCTGGAGAACACACATATCTCTACAGGGCAAACAACCAACTCCCATAATTTTAACATGACTATGATCGCTTTGTGAAACGGGGCCCTGGAGAACACACATATCTCTACAGGGCAAACAACCAACTCCCATACTTTAACATGACTACAATCGCTTTGTGAAACGGGGCCCTGGAGAACACACATATCTCTACAGGGCAAACAAACAACTCCCATACTTTAACATGACTACGATCGCTTCGGAAACGGGGCCCTGGAGAACACACATATCTCTACAGGGCAAACAACCAACTCCCATATGGACATCACTCGACGGTGCCACCTACCCCAACACTTGAGAAGACATCTTCCTGCTCATCCTCATCCTGTTGTATGTCAAATGGACTTCCTTCCTCAAGGAAGCGTGAGAAGTAGCCATTGCTCTGTAGCGATGTGTCATTGATCCTGTCTAATCCAGACATCTTGTCTACATCCAAGGCAGGTGTCACCACAGACTTCATCTTCAGCTTCCAGTTACGTAAGAACCTAAATTCCTGAAAAGAGAAAAGAAATGCAGGGAGTAATGCTAATGATAGACAGTGATATTCATCTACATGAAGAGAACCCCAGTTACATAAGACCAAACATACCAGAAGCTGAAGAATGTTAAAATTGGACTTCACAGGACACAGTTCCCAGCCTTCATTTTCCAGAAACATCCTCAGCTCGTCGAGACGTGCCCTGTTAAATAGATCATACAACTGAATAAACATGAATTCAGGGACAAGAAAATTGATCATGCATGTACTGAAGGGAAGTTATTTTGTCAAAAGAGAGACACAATTATAACCTGCACACTGATAATGAATTCAAATGAAAAACAACTTCATAGTAGTTAATTAACTTTGAACTTAATATTCCAATATTTACCTATGATGATTTCTGAAGTAGTTCAGACTCTGCTGTTTGAGAGAATCTTGCAGACCCTCAGACTTGCTATCACAAAACTCCTCCCCAATCTCGATCATCCTGTGGGAAAACAGACATTGCTGATTGCAGCAGTTACTATAGTACCTAATTGTCTTATTGACAAAGTTCAATGTATACAAGTTCATAAGAATCTAAACAAAGGATAAAACCAAATAGCAGAGAAATGCACTGCTGAGGTTGTGCTTAATCCTGTCATGGTTTTACTAGTAGTGGTCAGTTGGACAGCCAAGGTTCAGGGTGGGTTTTACTGATTCACTGCAACTCAGTATAGCATTTAACAAGACTTCTGTGGAGAATGTACAAATTACTTAAGTACACACCTGTTGATGATATCAAGGACTTTGATGAACTCCTCTAGTTTGAAGACAGACAAGTCAGTACCAAGGATGAATGTCTTCACCTTCTGTTGAACGTCTTGCCAGACACGGCCTCGACCGTACTCTAACTTTTGCATCACATAGCGACGGTTGAATGTAGCTTCCACGCTGCTGCCACCAGTCTCACCTAGAAAACACATGACACAAGTAAAGACACTGTCCTGAATATAAAAAACTGACACTGTCAGGCACATGTGGGTGATGGTGTCTGGTACATGTGGGTGATGGTGATGGTGTCAGGGACATGTGGGTGATGGTGTCAGGGACATGTGGGTGATGGTGTCAGGGACATGTGGGTGATGGTGTCAGGGACATGTGGGTGATGGTGTCAGGGACATGTGGGTGATGGTGTCTGGTACACCTGGGTGATGGTGTCAGGGACATGTGGGCGATGGTGTCAGGCACATGTGGGTGATGGTGTCAGGTACATGTGGGTGATGGTGTCAGGCACATGTTGGTGATGGTGTCAGGCACATGTGGATGATGGTGTCTGGTACATGTGGGTGATGGTGTCAGGTACATGTGGGTGATGGTGTCTGGTACACCTGGGTGATGGTGTCAAGTACATGTGGGTGATGGTGTCTGGTACATGTGGGTGATGGTGTCTAGTACACCTGGGTGATGGTGTCAGGCACATGTGGGTGATGGGTGTCAGGTACATGTGGGTGATGGTGTCTGGTACACCTGGGTGATGGTGTCAGGTACATGTGGGTGATGGTGTCTGGTACACCTGGGTGATGGTGTCAGGTACATGTGGGTGATGGTGTCAGGTACACCTGGGTGATGGTGTCAGGTACATGTGGGTGATGGTGTCTGGTACATACATGGTGGGTACATGATGGTGTCTGGTACATGTGGGTGATGGTGTCTTGGTACACCTGGGTGATGGTGTCAGGCACATGTGGGTGATGGTGTCAGGTACATGTGGGTGATGGTGTCAGGTACATGTGGGTGATGGTGTCTGGTACATGTGGGTGATGATGTCAGGTACATGTGGGTGATGATGTCAGGTACATGTGGGTGATGGTGTCAGGTACATGTGGGTGATGGTGTCAGGCACATGTGGATGATGGTGTCTGGTACATGTGGGTGATAGTGTCAGGTACATGTGGGTGATGGTGTCTGGTACATGTGGGTGATGGTGTCAGGTACATGTGGGTGATGGTGTCAGGTACATGTGGGTGATGGTGTCTGGTACACCTGGGTGATGGTGTCAGGTACACGTGGGTGATTGTGTCAGGTGATGGTGTCAGGTACATGTGGGTGATGGTGTCTGGTACACCTGGGTGATGGTGTCAGGTTCACGTTGGTGATTGTGTCAGGTGATGGTGTCAGGTACATGTGGGTGATGGTGTCTGGTACACCTGGGTGATGGTGTCAGGTACACGTGGGTGATGGTGTCAGGTACATGTGGGTGATGGTGTCAGGTACACGTGGGTGATGGTGTCAGGTACATGTGGGTGATGGTGTCTGGTACACCTGGGTGATGGTGTCAGGTACATGTAGGTGATGGTGTCAGGTACACCTGGGTGATGGTGTCAGTTACACCTGGGTGATGGTGTCAGGTACATGTAGGTGATGGTGTCTGGTACACCTGGGTGATGGTGTCAGTTACACCTGGGTGATGGTGTCAGGTACATGTGGGTGATGGTGTCTGGTACACCTGGGTGATGGTGTCAGGTACATGTGGGTGATGGTGTCAGGTACATGTGGGTGATGGTGTCAGGTACACCTGGGTGATGGTGTCAGGTACATGTGGGTGATGGTGTCAGGTACACCTGGGTGATGGTGTCTGGTACACCTGGGTGATGGTGTCAGGTACATGTGGGTGATGGTGTCAGGTACATGTGGGTGATGGTGTCAGGTACATGTGGGTGATGGTGTCAGGTACACCTGGGTGATGGTGTCAGGTACACCTGGGTGATGGTGTCAGGTACATGTTGGTGATGGTGTCAGGTACACATGGGTGATGGGTTTGTTATCATCTATATTACCAGAGATCTTTAGGGTTCAACTTCAGTGATATGCTTATATACTTATGAAAGCTTTCAGGAAGTTTCCATTACCAGTGTGTTCTGTGGCCATGTCTTGGTCGTGGCTCTCGTGCCACTGCATGGTCTTGTAGTAGCTCTTCATCACTCCCCACAATGCCTTGCAAAGATCCACAAGACAAGGTGTGAAAGTCTCTGTCGTTATGTGCTACAACAAAACACGTAATGATTTCAAATCTGATGCTCAAGCAGTTTCCAGGATAAAGCAAGTAGTAATTAGGAAAGATGACTGGCAAAACTGCTCATTTCTCCTTCTACCAGCCACAGCCTGAATAATGTCATCTACATGTCTCCTACCAGCCCCATCTTATATGTTTTTGTCAACATGCACTATTCTTATACAGCGTGACAGTTTTGTCTATTGTCAGAGCAATATGACTGACCTTGATGTATGAGAAACTCACCTTGCACAGGTCTGAGTACTGCCTCTTCTGGAAGTTGGTGGTGCCAGTGCCTGAGCAGAGTTCCACATATCCCAGCACCATGGTGAACGCTGTGTTGTGGATAGCACTAGCGAAGTGCATGTGTAGCTGGTCCATGGCAGTCTGGAACAGGATACCCTTGCTCAGATACACATGGAAACGCATCTCCAATCCAATGTTTGCACCCATGACACCCAGTACTGGTACTGTATGATTCACGCTAATGAAAAACATTGGGGGAAAGTACTTCATGAAGTTATGTTTACCTGTGTCTTGCCCAGTAGTCTGTATGCCATCTGCACCTTCTCATAGTGTGTGACATCAAAGCTTGAGCAAGTCTTGGACAGGGCCACATCTAGCTGTTCCTCAATCATCTCCAGTGTGTCCTGGAGTTTGGAACTCAACTCACTGCAAACAGTATACACATGCAATAAACAAACACATGCCAATAGTGTGACCTACAGTGTACCTGATACAGCGGTAGTGCCTGAATGTACTGGCTGGATGTTCTATTACTGTGGTCTACAGTGTACCTGATACAGCGGTAGTGCCTGAATGTACTGGCTGGATGTTCTATTACTGTGGTCTACAGTGTACCTGAAACAGCGGTAGTGCCTGAATGTACTGGCTGGATGTTCTATTACTGTGGTCTACAGTGTACCTGATACAGCGGTAGTGCCTGATTGTACTGGCTGGATGTTCTATTACTGTGGTCTACAGTGTACCTGATACAGCGGTAGTGCCTGAATGTACTGGCTGGATGTTCTATTACTGTGGTCTACAGTGTACCTGATACAGCGGTAGTGCCTGATTGTACTGGCTGGATGTTCTATTACTGTGGTCTACAGTGTACCTGATACAGCCGGTAGTGCCTGAATGTACTGGCTGGATGTTCTATTACTGTGGTCTACAGTGTACCTGATACAGCGGTAGTGCCTGATTGTACTGGCTGGATGTTCTATTACTGTGGTCTACAGTGTACCTGATACAGCGGTAGTGCCTGAATGTACTGGCTGGATGTTCTATTACTGTGGTCTACAGTGTACCTGATACAAGCGGTAGTGCCTGAATGTACTGGCTGGATGTTCTATTACTGTGGTCTACTGGAGTGTACTGTGGTCTACAGATGACAGCCTGGTAGTGCCTGATTGTACCTGAATGTACTGGCTGGATGTTCGTGTGGTCTGGATGTTCTATTACTGTGGTCTACAGTGTACCTGATACAGCGGTAGTGCCTGAATGTACTGGCTGGATGTTCTATTACTGTGGTCTACAGTGTACCTGATACAGCGGTAGTGCCTGAATGTACTGGCAGCTTTTTGACACTCCAGACAGAGTTGTATGGCCCCACTGTAATCCTCCTCCTGGAACACAATGACACATCTGATGGCAACAGGGGTCTTGTATCATTATTACATTGAATCAAAAAGCTTTTATTCAGTGGGAACCAAACTTGATTGTGACTGACTGACTGACTGCGTTTGGTTTTACGCCGCTTTTAGCAATATTCCAGCAATATCACGGCGGGGGACACCAGAAATGGGCTTCACTCATGTGGGGATTCGAACCAGGGTTTTTCGGTGTGACGAGCCAATGCTTTAACCATTAGACTACCCCACCGCCTCTTGATTGTGACAGTACTCATGGTTATAGTGTTTACACATCTTAACTTGTTGTACAAATATGATGTTTGTCTTCTGTAAAAGCCTGAGAACAGTTGCTCTGAATTTGTCACCACAAAGTCTACTACTGTACACTTACCTCCATCATTTCTCTTAATCTCAAATCTGTTCTTTGCTGAAAAATGCAATGAAAATCCACAATCATGCTAAGAAAAGACAACACACAAATTTTCAGTGATTCCTTTTGGTGGTAATTACCAATTCTTGAATTTTGAAATCTGACTGGAAGTTCCCTTGGAGTTATATGAGCGGTTCATGAATTCAAAATTAGGTGGATATACTAGCTGAAAGCAAGGAACACATAGTTAAAGTGTAACCATACCAGTGTTTTTATTGTGTGCAGTGACTTGAGTAATCCTAAGAGTTGTTGTCTCTTCCTGTAGTTAGCAAGCAGCCCGAGACTGGCAGTGGTGAAACTCTCACTGGCATGGAACAGTTGTCTGCAAGGGAAACAACCCATCACTACCTAAGTACCAAGCACAATCTCTGGGAAGCACACCATGTTGTTTTTCTTGTACAATCGATAAGGCATTACTGAAGTCCATTGATAAAGAACTTCTTGTAGAGAAAGGTTTTGAGATGACACTTAAAAGTTTTCAAGGGTTGGAAATAACACGCAGACATCTTTGGTAATCGAAATGTTTAAGTGATTTCAGCTGATGGAGAGATCTAGAACAATCAGATGAACCGGCTCGGCGAGGTGAAAAGTTCCGGCCGAGGTGTATTGGTTATTTATTTATTATACGGCCCCCATCACGTGGAGTTACCTCCCTGCTACGCATGCGCAGCCAACCAGGTAAGCACCTAGGCCCGAATCATCATTCCTTCTGCTGAACAAATCAGTGAACAGAATTGCGGGGAGGTGGGCGGCCCTACCCCAAGGACGATTCTCTTAAAAAAATTGGAAACCTCTACAGGTTATATAATTCTTTTTCATATAGATCGTCCTTGGGGTACATATATGCATTAACACAGACTCCCAAAGACCGGAGGCTAGGGAGGAGGGAATTCTGTCACAGTACAAAGAAATAGCGACCTCGTAATTACAAAAAGTGACTCACGCCATAACACTCACCTGTCACGAGTCCCCGAAGCGAGGCATTATGGGAGGTGACCCGACATGGAGAAATCGTACCAAGGACCGACCTCAATCAAGTTAACGAGCGTTGCAGGGTGGCAGGACACTGTCCACCGGAGAGAACAGGAGTGTGTATCCAGCTGATAGTGCTGTATAAAAGTGCTAGGCCGGCTCCAAATAGCGGCAGAGCAAATCACTTCGATGGGCAGGGCCGCTGCAAACGCTTTGGAAGTGGCAACTTCCCTGACCGAGTGAGCCTTCAACCCCTAAGGGGTGAGCCTGCCCTTGGCCTGATACGCAGCACAAATAACCGACACAAGCCAGCGAGAAAGTGTCTGTTTGCAGAACAGCAGAACAGATGGGTACCCGTACGGATCCCTTGTGTTCGTTTGATATAGACCTTGAGGGTCTTACGGACGTCCAATGGGAGAGTGCCCCCTGCAGAGGTCCCCAATGTGGAAGGCTGGGTAGGAGTAGGACGATCTTCGGACGGTAACTTTCCGGGAGGCGAATACTGACGCGATCTGGATGGAACACAGTCAGCGCCAGGTCTGCAGACATTGGCATGTAAATCACTGACCCTTCTCCCAGATGTCACCGCCACCAGAAAAACGGCCTTCCATGTTAACAACTGAATGGAAATAGCCGATAGACGTGAGAAAGTAGGACCAGACAGCCAATCTAGCACGATTGACAAATCCCAAGGTGGGCTGGTACGCCTGAGAGCAGGTCGAACACGATCCACACCAGCTAGGAAGCGCTGCATAAGAGGGTGCTGCCCCAGAAGAGCACCATCGACAGGGGTGTGAAAGGTGGAAATAGTAGTGGAGTAGCCACGAATGGTCGAAGCCGCCAAACCTTCAACCAAACGAGACTGCAGAAACTCCAATACTCGGACTAAATTCGCAGAAAAGGGATCTGCAATTCCCCTTTCTGAACACAAGCGCGCATAGCGGCACCACCTATCCTCGCACTGAACGTTTGTCGAATCCCGCTTTGAAGCCAGAATTGTGTCTGCAACTGTTGCAGGAATTCCACGTGCCTCGAGGCTAGACCTGACAGAGGCCAAGCCACCAACTGAATCCTCGGATTGGGGTGTGGCCGTTCTGAGTGAGAATGTCCGGTTGCAAAGGTAATAGAACAGGAGTCTGAGCCAGAAACCTGAGAATAACTGGAAACCAGCTCTGTGACAGCCAAAGCGGTGCCAGAAGCACAAGTAGCCGAGCTGGCTGGGTTGAGAGCTGGGAGAGGACCCGGAGAATGAGTGGTAGGGGGCAGAAACGCCCACAGCACCTTGCCCGTCCAATCCAGCAGGAAGGCGTCGGAGGCCAACGCCCTCTGGTCCAGTATTCGAGAGCAGAACACGGGTATCTGATTCTCAACGCCGGACACAAACAGATCCACTTGGAACGATCCGTACAACTGGGAGATAACTCTGAATATCTGCCGGTCGAGCATCCACTCGTGCGGGGCCAGGATCCGGCGAGAGAGAGCATCTGCTCGCACGTTTTCCAGCTCCGGGTGATAAACAGGAATCACCTGACAGTCGCACTGGTCGCACCAGAGGAGAAACTCCCACGTCTTCTGAAGGAATGCTAGGGACACCGTGCCGCCTTGCTTCAGGATGTACGTCATAGCCTTACGGTTGTCCAACTGAAGACAAACCACTTGGCCCTGAACCTGCTCCTGGAAGTTCTCGAAAACGAACCGCACAGCTCTCAGTTTTAAGACATAGATGTGAAGGCGACCAGCGTCCGGACACCAACAGACTGCCCAGAACACACACACACACACACACACACACACACCAGCCTGTGAGGGACGCATTGGTTTGAACTGTAAGAGCTGGTGTCGGGATTTCCAAAGGGACCCCATTGGAGAAATTCCCGAACTGGGTCCACCACTGAAGGTGAGGAGACAACCACCCGGGAACTGTGAGAGAGACATCTCCAGAGTGAGCACACAGACTTGCCAAAGCTTGCTGTATAGGGCGCATCCTCAACCGCGCCTGCGGCCCAGTAGACCTATGACCCAGTAGACCATGCTCGTGCCTGGGACTGGGAGAGGATAGAAGACACCATCTCCCGTAGTCTGGTGATCCAGTCGGGCGACAGAGACACAAGACCCTTGTGAGTTGTGAACCGCGCCCTGAGAAAAACCAAGTCCTGGGTGGGTACCAGGTTGGATTTCTTGTGGTTTATAATCCATCCCAGTCGAACTAGAATGTCTATCACTGTGCGAGTAGAATCTAGGCTCGCTGGCGGAGTTAGTGCACGCAGCAACCAGTCGTCTAGGTAAGGATGATAATGCCTTCCTTGCGACTGCGTGAGAGTCGCTGGCACTAAACTGAGCTTGGTGAACACCCTGGGGGCAGTGGATATGCCGAAGGGGCGGGCGCACCCTGAACTGATAACACATCCCGTCGTAAGAGAACCGGAGGAACTGCTTGAATGTGGGATGAATAGGCACATGTACATACGCATCCTTTAGATTGATCAACGTAAGCCAATCGCCGGGCTGAACTGAGGAGATCACCGAGCGAAGTGAGTCCATCGTGAAGGATGGAACCTCTAACATGCGATTCAACACCTTGAGGTTGAGAATGGGACGGAAACCGCTGTCTTTCCTTGGAACGAGGAAGTACGTGGGATAAAATCCCGCCTGTTCCTCACCCAGTGATACACGCTCTATTACGGACTTGTCTAGCAAAGCCTGAACCTGGTCGCGCAGAATACCCACCTTTACCGGACAGGATGGCACCGGAGTGCGCCTGATGCCGGTGAACTCTGGCAGGCCTCGCTTCCACAGCGGTAGATGGCCGACACAGATGGTGGAGAGCACCAAAGAGTTGTGTGTTGCCTTTTCCCACTCCAGAAGGGAGAGAGAGAGAGGCGGCCTCCCACTGGGATGTGTGGTAAGAGTGCATGAGTAGTCCCCTGCAGTTGAACTGACTGGGACGTACTCACGGAGACAGCTTGCAGGTTTAACGGGAGGTCGGGGCAGACCTCCTGCGACCGCGAAAAGGCTGCTGGGAGCTTGACGAAGAGGCCTGCTCCTTACCCCTACCCTTGGCGGGACGGTTCTTTCTCCTACTCCTGCCCAGCGGCCGAAGCCAGCCGGCAGACTCGGGCGTAGGGCTGTGCCTCGGAGGAAGAACTTGTGACGGGAGCACAGGAGCGAGAAACCCGCGGTCGTTCCAACAAGGCTTTGGAGTCCTTGAAGGAAGTAGCTGCAGCAGCAGCCTCCTGAATTACCTGCTGAGACCCCGGAAACAACGTCGCACCCAGCCGATACGGAAGGGTCAGCAAGGTCTGCTGGGATGCCGCCGAGTCGCATGAGGTGGACAACCACAGCTTGCGCATCCCCATGACTGCGCACATCACCGTAAAGAGTCCCTGGTCAGGTGGGCCTGAACCCCGGTTAGTTGAAGCAGGAGGACAACATTAGGTGAAACGTCACCCGTGCCTGCCTCTGCTTCCAGAGCCGACCTCTGAATCGAGGAGAGGTACGCCCCATACCCAAATCTGTTGCATGGCATTCCTGTAAACCTTCTCATAGGTACGGTATGCCGGCTGTAGAGGGGTGCCCGACTGGGCAAACGGTGGAACCAACCGCCCCTGTTTGGCAGCCAGAGCTACACCAGAGCCTCCCCCAAGGGCGACCAAGGTAAGCATGCATTAGTCCACCACCGGAATGAGGAAGAGGGACTCGTTACCCAGCTGATACCGCTTCACAAGTTCGGGCAAATCAAACCGGAGAGTAGAGCCAGCTAGTAACGGGTCCACAACATTCTGAACCAGGGAGGGTAAGACACGGAGCTGCATCTGAGAGGGCTGCCTAGGAGCAAACACCTCACCGAGCAGGCGGAACTAAGACGAGTCCTGGCAGCTAGTCGGGACCGCAGCTCGGGGTAACAGTGGCGTACCTCTCGTAAAGCCAACGTGAAGCGAAAAGTGCCCTTGGACTCCTCAACCTCCATGGTCTCGGCCCCTGAGCCCAAGCCAGAATCCGGATCCTCTCAAAGAGAAGACCTGAACCCCGACCCGGTGGAATGCCGAGCCACAGACGACCAGGGAAGGAAGAGCCTGAGACGCTCTCCACTCCGGCCACCCACCACAAGCCAGGACCCCGATCCCGAGACGCAGGAGGCTGCCCAGGCAAAACTGGAGCCTCCGCTCTCAAGGAGATAGGGTGCGCAGGGATCGGAACACCAGGAATACTCAACGGCCCCTGTGCGAGCACTGAGAGACGGATTGGGTGCGAACCCTCCCTCTCCGGGGCGGCCGAGGCGTCCGGACCCATAGCCAATGGCAGCGGACCAACAGAAGCCTCGAGGCCTATGGATCGAGGTGAACATATGCTGTTGGAACAATTGCTGTATGAAAGACATATCAAGTGGTACAGATTCTTTAGAACCTTTAGATTTAGAATGCCTATTAGCCTTTTTAGGTTTGGATGGGGGTGTCTCCTCAGTCGGGTCCCTTCCCGCCTCCCTCAATTCTCGGCAGAAGAGGAAATTGGCAGCCTCTCGTTTCTGGGCACGGGGGAAGAAACCAAGGCAAAGTTCGTACACATCAGGAGTATGCCCAGCCTTTTCAAGGCAACATAAGCACTTGTCATGGGTATGTGTGGCTGCTTGTACTAGCCCAGACTGAAGCTGGTTTTATAGTGCTAGCCCACTGAGATACCCTGCCGTAGTGAAGCATGAATACCCCACTCAGACACATTATACTGACTCCGAGCCAACCAGTCCTTGTTGTATCCATTAATGCCGAACGCCAAACAGGGACCAACAAGTACCATATTTAAATGTCTTTTGGTATGACGCGGTCGGGGATCGAACCCGCGACCTTCCGCTCTCCGAGCGGACGATCAAACCACTACACCACAGAGGCGGTCGTGGTTCAAATCAAGCATGTGTGGACACAATGCGTGACAGCAAAAGGAATGATGATACGGGCCTGAGTGCTTACCTGGTTGGCTGCGCATGCGTAGCAGGGAGGTAACTCCATGTGGTGGGGGCCGTATAATAAATAAAAAAAGATTTTTATTATTGTACAATATTTTTATTAAAACATTAATACAACTGTCACATGACATTTTCAGCCGCAGAATATGCATATATGTACCCCCAGGACGATCTCTATGAAAAAGAATGAGAACTCTCACAATGCGTCCACACAGTGGTGCAACAAGAAGAATCATCATCACTCTGACGTAGTCATGTGGGTAGATAGGGGAACGTGCTGCATGCTTAGCCAGGGACTAGGGACCTGTCCTGTAAAGAGAGCAGCCTGGGGAACACAGGCGTATGGATAAGGGAGGCCTACAGGGAAAGTTCTCATTTTGTTCCACTCAGCGTCGAAGCAAGAGTGCAAAGTGCAAATCGTGAGAGAGGATAACTTTAAAAATTTAAGGTTTGTATAAGCTTTTATCAGGTTTATACTGGTATCAATGATGCTGTTGAACAAGTTCTTTCCAGTTCATGCAAGCGGGTATTGATGGCACGGCTAAAGTGTCAAGTACAGTTCACCTACTTGCGCCCAGTGCTGCAGATGACCCCTGCCAGCTGTAATGTCTTCTGCAACTCCATCACCCGCTGTAACTCCGCTGCATATGCTGGCTGTTTCTGGAGGATCAACTCCGACACTTTTTTGGAAACCTGCAACAATTTATACAAACCTGTAGAGGTTATGAATTCTTTGAAGAAAGTCCTCCTTGGGGTACATATAAGCATTAAAATGTCCATTTTAAATCCTACGACAGTTGTAACTATATTTTTAATAAAATATTTACAAAACAAAAAACTCGTTTTGTCTTGTGAGACCACCCCTACAGGGCCCCACCGGACCAACACAGCCAAGAGCAGGTAACTCTCGCCGTCTACCTCGTACCTCACTTTTCATGCTGAACGTGTCAGACAGAATGAGGGGAGGCGGGTGGCCGTACCCCAAGGAGGACTTTCTTCAAAGAGTTCATAACCTCTACAGGTTGTATAATTCCTTTTCAGAAGAAGTCCTCCTTGGGGTACATATAAGCATATGACAGACTCCCAAAGATATTTGAGACGGGAGTGGCATTCTGTCTGGCAACAACTAAACCCGTGGTGGAGTGAAATCTTCAACCGATACGGAAATAGAAAACACCGAGCCACCTGACCGCTGATGTCAATCAGACGGGGGCTGGAACTAGAGAGCCCAAGCTTATATGTCAATTGGCTCAATATCAAAGACATAAAACCCCACCCCCAACCATTACAATGGAAGGAATGTATGGGGACATGCCGAAACAACTCCCAACCCTAATATAGCCCCAGCCAGACAAGCGTGGCGAGAGGTATAAGGGTAGGGAAAGCGTAAAATTTTAAACGCTACAAAGCCAATAACCCAGGAGTTGAGCTAATAAGTACTGCAAACTAATGCTTGAATGCACCCCTGTTTGGGAGAGGGCTTGCCGGGACCTGGATAAAACCCAGAGAAATTATTAGCCTCGCTAAAACCTTTCTGAGGAACCAATTCCGTCGCAAGACGGGTTAATAGCATATAACTGGTTAAAGCGTTCAAAACGGACCCCGCCCTCTTGAAGAGGACGTAAGGGACGTATGTACACCCAAACCCGACCCAACCCGAAGGATGGTAAGGCTAATACGATGTAGTGGTATGAAATATATCGACATTGAACACACAACCGATACCAATGACCAGTTACTAACTTGGTCAGGGTGGCAGGTCACTCACCACTGGAGAGAACCGAAAGACCGAGCGAGCACGATCCTTAGAATGCGTGTCAAGTTGGTAATGGCGAATGAAGGCGTTCTGCCGGCTCCAAAGAGCGACAGAACCGATCTCTTCATTGAGCAGTGCCGCTGTGTATTGCCAACAAAGCGGCATCTGCCCTACCCAGTCTGCCTTCAACCCCTCGGGGGGAGGTAAACCTTATCATTGTAACCGAACAATTACGGAAACAAGCCAACGAGATAAAGTGCGCTTGCTAGCAGACTCCCCAGTCTGCCCGCCACCAAACAGCACACATGGGTACCCATACGGATCCCTTTTGTTCGTTCGTTCGTGACAGTCACGGGTGAGCAATCGAAGATTGGTCCCGGTGCGAAGGCTGGGTAGTAGGGTGGAAGTGCGATATGAGCAGTCACGTGGAAAGCAATATCGCACTGAGAGAGGTAGGTATCCGGGAGGCGAATACAGACATGGTCAGTATAAAATACTGTCAGCGTCAGGTCAGTGGGAATCGCATGGATGTACCCGACCCTTCTACCAGAGTTCACCACAACAAGTAAAGTCGTCTTCCACGTCAACAAGTGAAGTGAGAGAGACGATATACTTGACAAATTAGGGCCAGACAGCCAATTGTGAATAAGTGGCAATTTTAAGGTGGGCTGGGTCGCCGACGAGGTGGTCGAACCCTGTTCATGCCAGCTACGACGCGATGTACGAGAGGATGCTGCCTAGGCAGAGCTCCATCGAACGAGGTGTGAAACGCGTGGAAATAGCCATGGAGTACCGGCAATGGTGGAGGTCATAAGGCTCTCAACCAAAACGAGGTTATAGTAACTCCAATATCCGAACTAAATCCGCAGAATAGGGATTATGAAATCCCCTATCTGCACACCAGCCGCCCCACCTATCAACACACTGAACGGATTGTCGAATCCCAGCCAGGATTGTGTCTGCAACGGTTGCAGGAATTCGCCTGTTATACCCGACAGAGGCCAAGCCACCCAGTGAATCCGAGGATTCGGTGTGGCGCCCGTTCAGAGTGAGAATGTCTGGCGAAGAGGTAATTCAATCCCGGGCGCGGGGGATCGAACACCAACCTGACTGCTGTCAATTCCAGCACATTGATGTGCAGGTTGTGACTTCGTCTCAAGAGGCTGCAGGTCACCCAGAACATCGCCCTAACCCGGTAGGGATGTATCTGGCTGGACTGAGAGCGACAGTGTCTCCAGGGGTGGGGACCCTCGGAGAGACGCCTGACGTCTGTCCATCTGACTGCGTGAGGTTGACAATTCCGCCCAGTTTCGTAAGAGTGACCAACACTAATCATGAGGTCCCCAGACTCAACAGTTATTCTGAAACCATGATGAGCCAGTCGCCTAGGTACGGGTGACAACACCGGCACTGCGATCTGGCTATCTGAGCTGTAATAAACCTCAATTTGGTGAACACCCTTGGCACCGTAATGTAGCCTAAGGAGAGCACACGAAACTGGTAGCATGTCCCGTCAAACAAGAAACCGAAGGTAAATCTTGAAATCAGGGTGCAATGGAACAAGGAGGTACGCGACCTCGAGGTCGATTGACGTGCGCCAATCCCATGTCTCGGCAGATGAGATCACCGAGCGCGGTGTCTCCATCTTGAAGGACAGTACCTCTATGAACTTGTTCAGCTCTCAGATGAGTATGGGTCTGAACATTCCGTTCGTAATGGCAACGATGAAATAAATGGAGTCAAACCCCACATTTTCCTGACCATTGGAAACCACCACACTGGTTGCCTAGCCCAGCAGAGACTGGATCTCGGCACGGAGTATTGTCGCCGTCCCCCGGGAAGCCGACACTGGAGTGTGTCGCTCCGACCGGTGTTTGCGGCAGAATATAGTAAACCCCAGCAGTCGGCAACTTAACGTTTGCCGATGCCTGGGCACCTGAGGAATTAACGAGAAGCTCAACAGACTTCCGTATTCCTTGAAACGGTCCCGGGCGTATAGGCCCATAACCGCCCTCATCATTTGGCTGGCACAGCTACAATGCAGTCCCTAGCCAGATGAGAGTTGACCTCCGTCAGATGCCGCCCAGAGTCGCCGACGAAAAAATACCGCCGGCGCTCTCTCCCCTTTCCCCCAGCTCCCTCAGCAGAGCTGAGAGATGCGCCGAGTGGAGCATACAGCGTTGAGCTGTAAAGGGGAAAGAACGGCAGACTTACGGGAGAGTGTGAGGCCTTGTCCCGGATGCCTTGCTGGAAGCAGGCTAACTCCAACGGTTCGGGTATTCGACGTGGACAACACCCGAGGCAACACAGCCGCGATTCTATCTCGCACTTGCCTCAGGGACGAACCTACTCAGTGGTAAGTTCAAAGTAGCGAAATGAGCCGAAGCTCAAACTTGTCCACTGTACGAGCCTGAACCCCGATTCCGAGGCACATGTGAGAAGCCTGACAATCAAGGTTTCACAAGCACTCAGACAGACCTCGGAGCATCGAGGTGACCGTCACACCCGGCACACTCGATGGCATCTTGGTCAAAACGTCGATAGACATCAGGCCGAGACCTGAACTACCGGAGCCGGGAATCTGCGCCCTACCAGTGCCGAAGCCTGGGTCGGTGCTACCCACGGGGTTCAGAGAATCCGCAGAGCCGAAGCTCAGCTGTTCTAGACCGAACCCCGATCCCGAGACACGTAGGAGTAGCCTGATAAATCAGGTTTCCCCAAGTACTCTCCAAAAGCGCACTGAGCATATAGTCAAACATAGCCTATAGCGCTATATAAATACCCATACATACACATGTATGTGTATATATATATATATATATACAGATATATATATATATACGTAAGTGCTTGGGTCGGCGGTTCGAGTTCAAACCCCGATCCCCGAAACACATGGGAGTAGCCTGACAATGCAGGGCTCCCCTGGTGTACACGGGTAGACCTCGGCGCGTCGAGGTGATCGGCAGCTCGTCACACTCAACGGCCTCTTGGCCAGGGCATCGATAGACATCAGGCCGAGACCTGAGCTAACAGCGCCGGGGATCTGCTCCGTACCGGGGCCGAAGCCCAGGTCGGTGCTAGTCCGATCTGCAGTCCCGAGACACAAGGGATTAGCCTGGCAATCCAGGTTTCCCCTGGTGGACACAGGTAGACCTAGGAGCGCCAAGGTGATCGGCAGCTCAGTGGAACCCAGACCGGGGCCGAGAGGAACCTGCCGATATACAGGTTTCCCGGGCAACCCCGACTGACCACTTGGCGCCGAGGTGTCCCCGAGCTGGTCGGCGCCTAGGCGACCGCCAGTCAGGGTACCAGGCGAAGACAGAGTGAAACCTGCATCGCCGGCGCCAGGCGCCTGTGACGAACCTGAGCCCGAAGCTAGGTCGCCACAAGGTGCCGAAGGCACACCATCACCTGAGCCGAAGCCAGGATCAAGCTGCCTGGGAGGAGGCGCGTTCTCCGAGCCAGAGCTCGGGCCGCAGCCAACCCCCCCAGATGCATCTGATCCACCCCCGACGACAGGCGTGCTGAGCTCCTTGCGGAACCCAGACAGCGCCGTGTCAATCAGGGATTTCACCACAGACGACACCTGGTTAACTTACCATCGAGATCAACACTTTGCGAGCCGAGCTCCTGACGGAGCCCGGACATCGCGCTATCAATCATCGACTTGACATTATGTTGAAGAATATGTTGCTGCAATGGTGAAGCAAATTGAGTCATATTTGAGGGGAACGATAAAGGGATTTCCTTAGAAACCTTTTATCAAATATTATCCCCCGCCTGAAGCAGATAAGTGAAAAACATAAAATCTGCGTGTCGGAAAGAATGCGCGTGAGGCGCAGAAACCCAGACAAAAAACCACAACCTCGGCCTATGAGCCATGTTGTGTGTAAACGTATGAAATATGTATCAGATTACAACATAATGTAACAGGAATATTGACGCAAGGGCGTTTATTATGAGCATCCTTGATCGTCGTGAGCGTCCTCGGCTAAACACCGGAGGCACACTTTATAACTATCCTGTGGCGGTAGTGTGCACGGCACAACGCACAGGGCTTAAACTGCAACAAACAGAACCATGCCAGTGTTACTAGCAGGAACTGTGAAGCAGCAAACACATAAACACAAGTAATAGCAAGAATAACCCGCACGGGCGATATTTAAATGCTACAAGCTACAGCCATTTAAATACTAAACATACAATGCAAAGCAGAAAAAAGGCTAGCCACCCCTGCGTGTACATACTAGTGATAGAGTAAAGTTGAGTGATACGAAACGAACACTATCAAAATTACTCAACAATGACTTACCACAAATTCGCTGAAAAGAAAGAGAATTTAGGCAAGCCTACCATATAATATGCAAACATAATATATGAACTCCCTACTACAAGCTACCAAGAACATACGATCGCGATCGCGCGGTCCGCCATTTTGCCTGCCACATGGCTGGAAAACAGAGAACCCACGGCAAAGTTACAACAAAAGATGAATGAAAATATCAACATATGACGTCCATCTAACGCCCGTGCGTAGAGAAAGGAACCATACATACAGATTGAGACTCTTTTTTACACTCATCGTATCGGTAGGAGAGCAAACTCGAAACGAACACCACGCATGTCTATTCAACAGAACGACAGCATGAAAAGTGAGGTACGAGGTAGACGGCGAGAGTTACCTGCTCTTGGCTGTGTTGGTCCGGTGGGGCCCTGTAGGGGTGGTCTCACAAGACAAAACGAGTTTTTTGTTTTGTAAATATTTTATTAGAAATATAGTTACAACTGTCGTAGGATTTAAAATGGACATTTTAATGCTTATATGTACCCCAAGGAGGACTTCTTCTGAAAAAGAATTCTAACATTTATTTCTTGTTTGGTTAGTATTCATTACCACAGTAATTAATATACGAGCTGTATCACAGTGGCGTTTGTTGTCACCTTGAAACAAGGTGAGGTCATTGGTGCAGGTAATCCCCCAAATGTGGGTCGCCGTAGAAAATATACAGGACATATGATTTCTGTCTTGCAGTCTAAGCTATGGGTAGAGTTCAAGCCAGTTCTTTTGAAATTTGAGAGGCAGTCACATAATTTTCACTTTCAAAGTCTTACTTGACTGGTTAGCTTTCAAACTATTGGCCTGCTTTTCCTTTACACTATCAAATTTTACGTTAACTAGATTGTCAACTGACAATACACTGTACATGTCAATCAACATGACTGGTGTGTCAAATTGGGTCCACCAAGCTCCTAACATGGCAACTTACAGCTTGAAGTTGTTTTCTCAGACGAATTCGGTCTTCATCAACCTTAGACAGATCAATAACTTCTGGGAGTTTCTGAAATTGTAAAATTAAAGATGATTGAGAATTGTTAGACATTTGCACAGAAGTTACATAACTAAACTGCTTAAACTAACAATCTTCTCATAATTCAAATATTATTTCAAAGAGACATAAACCATGACTGACTGTTGTGATGGCACTACACTATTCAGAAATATTTAGCTAAACCTGTAGAGGTTTCCAATTCTTTGAAGAGAGGCGTCCTTGGGGTACATATATGCATTTTCTGCGCTGAAAATGTCATGTGACAATTGTATCAATGTTTTAATAAAAATATTGTACAATAAATAACATCTTTTTCATCTATTATACAGCCCCCATACAGCCCCCACGTGGAGTTACCTCCCTGCTACGCATGCGCAGCCAACCAGGTAAGCACCTAGGCCCGTATCATCATTCCTTCTGCTGAATAAATCAGTGAACAGAATTGCGGGGAGGTGGGTTGCCCTACCCCAAGGACGATTCTCTTCAAAGAATTGGAAACCTCTACAGGTTTAGCTAATTCTTTTTCATATAGATCGTCCTTGGGGTACATATATGCATTAACTCAGACTCCCAAAGACCGGAGGAGGGAATTCTGTCTGGGAATTTAAGTACACATAAATAGCGATCGTTAGGAAGAATGTAACAGACACCACAACACTCACGTGTTGTCACGTGTCCCGAAGCTTCCACAAGAGGCATGATGGGAGGGTAACCGACAGGGAGGATAAGTACTGAGAACCGACCTCATAGGTTAAGCACAGCAATTCGCACACAGTGAGAAAGTAAACAACCTGCCCACATCATGATCATGAACAGAACGGCCAAACGCGCACGATCACGTGAATGTGTATCGAGCTGATAGTGCCTGAAAAAAGTGCTAGGCCTGCTCCAAATAGCGGCAGAGCATATCTCTTCAATGGGTAGTGCCGATGAAAAAGCCTTTGACGTGGCCACTGCCCTGACCGAGTGAGCCTTCAACCCCTCAGGGGGAGGCTTGCCCTTTGCCTGATAAGCAGCACAAATGACCGATACAAGCCAGCGAGATAGGGTCTGTTTGCTTGCTGGCATCCCAGCCTTCCCGCCACCATAACAGCAGAACAAAAGGTTACCCATACGGATCCCTTGTGTTCATTTGATATAGACCTTGAGGGTCATACGGACATCCAACGGGTGAGTGCTCGTTGCAGAGGTCCCCAATGTGGAAGGCTGGGTAAGAGTAGGAAGTTCGATAGGAGCTGTCACATGGAAAGCGTGATCGATCTTCAGACGGTAAGTATCCGGGAGGCGAATACTGAAACGATCTGGATGGAACACAGTCAGCGCCGGGTCTGCCGACATAGCATGTAAGTCGTCGACCCTACGCCCAGATGTTACCGCCATCAGAAATACGGCCTTCCATGTTAACAACTGAATGGAAATAGCCGATAGACGTGAGAATGTAGGACCGGACAGCCAATCTAGCACGATTGAGCAAAATCCCAAGGTGGGCTGGTTCGGCTGACAGCAGGTCGAACCCGATCCACGCCAGCTAAAAAGTGCTGTAGAAGAGGGTGCTGCCTCAGAAGAGCACCATGGACAGGGGTGCGAAAAGTGGAAATAGCGGTGGAGTAGCCATGAATGGTCGAAGCCGCCACGCCTTCTTCCAAACGAGCTTGCAAAAACTCCAATACTCGGACTAAATCCGCAGAAAAGGGATCTGCAGTCTCCTTATCTGAACACAAGCGCGCATAGCGGGACCACCTATCCTCATATTGAATGTTTGTCAAATCCCGCCGCGAAGCCAGAATTGTGTCTGCAACTGCTGCAGGAATTCCACGTGCTTCGAGGCTAGACCTGACAGAGGCCAAGCCACCCACTGAATCCTCGGATTGGGATATGGCGTGCCGTTCTGAGTGAGAATGTCCGGTCGCAAAGGTAATAGAACAGGAGCCTGAGCCAGAAACCTGAGAATTACTGGAAACCAGCTCTGTGACAGCCAAAGCGGTGCCAGTAGCACAAGTAGCCGAGCTGGCTAGGTGGACAGCTGGGAGAGGACCCGAGGAATGAGTGGTAGGGCCGGAAACGCCCACAGCACCTTGCCCGTCCAATCCAGCAGGAAGGCGTCGGAAGCCAACGCCCTCTGGTCCGGTATTCTAGAGCAGAACACGGGTATCTGATTCGTCCCGCCGGACGCAAACAGATCCACCTGGAATGATCCGTACAACTGGGAGATAACTCTGAATATCTGCCGGTCGAGCATCCACCCGTGCGGGGTCAGGATCCGGCGAGAGAGAGCGTCTGCTCGCACGTTTTCCAGCCCCGGGAGATAAACAGGAATCACCTGACAGTCACACTGGTCGCACCAGAGGAGAAATTCCCACGTCTCCCGAAGGAGCTCTAGGGACACTGTGCCGCCTTGCTTCAGGATTATTTACGTCATGGCCTTACGGTTGTCCAACTGAAGATGAACCACCTGGCCCTGAACATGCTCCCAAAAGCGCTCGAAAACCAACCGCACAGCTCTCAGTTCCAAGACGTTGATGTGAAGGCGGGCTTCGGCTTCGGACCAGAGTCCGGACACCGACAGACTGCCCAGAACACACACCCCAAGCCCGTGAGGGACGCATCGGTTTGAACTGTAAGAGCTGGCGTCGGGAGTTCCAAAGGGATCCCCTTGGAGAGATTCCCGACATTGGTCCACCACTGAAGGTGAGGAGACAACCACCCGGGGACTGTGAGACACTGCTCCAGATCCTCCAAGTGAGCCCACAGACTTGCCAAAGCTTGCTGTATAGGGCGCATCCTCAACCGCGCCTGCCACACTACAGAGATACGTGCCGCCATATGACCCAGTAGACAGAGCCAAGTCCGCACTGGTGCCTGGGGCTGGGAGAGGAACGAAGACACCATCTCCCGTACTCTGGTGACCCGGTCGGGCGGCAAGAAGACAAGACCCTTGTGAGTTGTGAACCGCGCCCTGAGAAAAACCAAGTCCTGGTCGGGTACCTGGTTGGATTTCTTGAGGTTTATGATCCAGCCCAGTCGAACTAGAATGTCTATCACCGTGTGGGTAGAATCTAGGCTCGCTGGCTGAGTTAGAGCGCTGAGCAACCAGTCGTCGAGGTAAGGATAACAACACCTTCCATGCGACTGCGCGAGGGTAGCTGGCACTAACATGAGCTTGGTGAACACCCTGGGGGCAGTGGATATGCCGAAGGGGAGCACCGTGAATTAGTAACCCATCACGTCGTAAGAGAACCAGAGGAACTGCTTGAACGATGGATGAATTGGCACATGTAGATACACATCCTTTAGGTCGATCGACGTAAGCCAATCGCCGGGCTGAACAGAGGAGTTCACCGAGCGAAGCGTCTCCATCTTGAAGGATGGAACCTCTAGCATGCGATTCAACCTCTTGAGGTTGAAAATGGGATGGAACCTGCCGTCCTTCTTCGGAACGAGGAAGTACGTGGAATAAAATCCTGCCTGTTCCTCGCCCGGTGGTATGCGCTCTATTGCGGACTTGTCCAGCAAAGCCTGAACTTCGTCTCGCAGTATATCCGCCCTAACCTGACATGACAGCACCAGAGTGCGACGTAAGCCGCTGAACTCTGGCGGGCCTCGCTTCCACAGTGGGAGATGGCCGACGCTGACGGTGGATAGCACCCAAGTGTTCCTGGTGGCCTTCTCCCACTCCGGCAGGAATAGAGAGAGGCGGCCCCCCACTGGGATGTGTGGTAGGAGGGCATGATTGGTCCCTTGCAGACAAACTGACTGGGACAGACCCACTGTGACAGCCTGCAGGTTTAACCGGAGGTCGGGGCAGACCCCCCTGCGACCACGAAAAGGCTGATGTGAGCCAGACGAAGAGGACTGCACCTTGCCCTTACCTTTGGCGGGACGGCTCCTCCTCCTACCCCTGCCCAGCGGCCGAAGCCAGCCGGCAGACTCAGACATAGGCTGCGCCTCGGAAGAGGAACCAGCTACGGGAGCGCAGGAGCCAGAAGCCCATGGTAGCTCCAACAAGGCCTTAGAGTCCTTGAAGGAGGTAGCTATGGCAGCAGCCTCCCTAATGACCTGCTGTGCCCCCGGAAACAACGTAGACGCGGCAGACCGCAAAGAGTCTCGCGCCAGGTGGGCCTGCACTTCGGACAATTGGCGAAGCAGAACAACATGCGGGGAAACGTCCCCAGTGCTCCCTTCCGCCTCCAGAGCCGACCTTTGAATAGAGGAAAGGTAGGCATCATGGATCACCACCCACACCTGCTGCATGGCATTCCGGTAGACTTCCTCATAAGTCCGGTATGCCTGGGGTGCGCCCACTAGTGTAAATGGTGGAACTAAACGCCCTTGCTTGGCAGCCGGGGCTGCACCTGAGGAAGCTGAGCCTCCCCCCGAGGGTGACCGAAGTGAACACGCACTTGTCAACCACCGGCACAAAGAACAGAGAATCGTCCCCCAGCTGGTACCTCTTAACGAGTTCGTGTAAATTGAACCGGAGGCGTGTCCCAACCAGGAGGGGATCCATCACGTCCTGCACCAGGGAAGGCAAGATACGGAGAAGTGTCTGCGAGGGTTGCCTCGGGGGCGGGGTGGCGCAGGGACCAGAACCCCAGGAATCCTCAACGGACCCTGCGCCAGCACCAAGAGGGGGACTGGGAGCGAACCCTCCCCCTCCGGGGTAGCCGAGGCATCTGAACTCGAAGCCAAAGGCAAAGGATCGACAGTCGCCTCCAGGCTATGGGATCGAGGCGGGCTCGGCGATCCCAACTCCGGACTCTCGGTCCCCTGTTCAGAGTGGGCGAGGAACTCCTGGTGGAGGCCTCCAACGGACTCATGAACAAGGGACTTCACGGAGTCCATATGCTGCTGAAACAATTGAGTGATTATTGGCATATCAAAACCACTAGATTGGGATGATTGGAAATGCGACTTATGCGAAGAACTAGTTTTAGCTTGTTTGGCTTTTTTGGCTTTGGACAGGGGGACCTCCTGGGTAAGTTCCCCTCCCGCCTCTCGCAATTCCTTAT